GTTCCTAATAATGAATTGTGAGTCATTGGTTTTCATTCAAATTGGTGAATATAGTTTCAGTGATTTTGCTGGCGAATTTGATTTGAAGAATCTACCACAATTACTATCCATCCAAATTGGTGAACTCGGCAGTTTTTCTTACAATTTTTATCGTAATTCGTTTGTGATCAAAGGTAATGATAATGATAATGATGGTTTGAATGATTAGATCTCCCAAATCTGCAATTTATTACATTAGGATACAACACATTTGCCTACTCTTTCGCAACATTAATTAAGAGTATGAATTGAATATGAATGAATTAAACGACTATAGATCTTCCATCATTACAATCTATTCTGCTCGATCATTATGCACTTTATGGAGGAGATAATAGTGAATTCTCTTCCTTGGTAATGCGAAGTAGTTATGAAATGATTTGAAATGATTGAATGTAGATCTTCCTAATCTAATATCTATTCACAGTATGGGAAAATATAATTTCTATAATCCTCGTTCAGTGACATTCGAAAGTACTTTAAAAACTAAATATTGATAGTACTTAGATATTCCAAACTTATTGGTTGTAAAGCTACAGGATTCATTCAAGTGTGTTAAATCAAAAACAATTTCGAGTATTGCATGATTGATTCAATTTCCTTCATAGATGTTTCAACCATTCTTTCTGATTGTGTCCAAATTAAGTAATAACTCGAGCATTGAATCAACACACTTCATATTATAAGACTATGAATAATGAATGACGTAAGTATTTTCAATGCTAATTCACTTTGTTTGTTTAGACCAAGTAACTCTCATTACAGAGATATTCATTTGTCTATGAATTATGCAATGTGAAACAAATGAGTAAAAACAATAATGTGTTCAATATATGAAATGGTAAAATAGTGAGTTAACAAATGAGTGAATGAGTGAATGAGTGAATGGTTTGGTTTAATAATAGTAAGAATGGATGAATAAATGTGTGAAGTGGAGTGAAGAGGAGAGAAGAGGAATAGAATGTAAAAATGTAAAAGTGAATAATATAATAAAAAGGAGTAAAAGAACAGCATCGAGACTTCTCAGCGAGTCACCCACACTGGTACTAACTCGACTCGTAATGACTTAGCTTCCTAGATCGGACGGGTTAGGGCGCTTTCCATCAGATATGGCCGTTCTCGCTTTCCCTTTCACTTCAAACCTATATATATATAGCATATTAATATCATCATTCACTAATAATTCATATCAATTACAATCGCTCACCCACTCATTTCCTGATTCACTAACTATCTCAGGTAATTGATTTGTTGATAAAAGAAGAAGAAGAATGAAAAGAAATAAGTAGAATAGAAATGGAGTGTGAGTGAATGAATGATGATAAGAATGTGATATATAAATACGTAAGTGAATAACAATAATATGAGAACGGCCATATCTGATGGAAAGCGCCCTAACCCGTCCGATCTAGGAAGCTAAGTCATCACGAGTCGAGTTAGTACCAGTGTGGGTGACTCGCTGAGAAGTCTCGATGCTGTTCTTTTACTCCAATATTCTATTCTATTCCATGATTGCTGTTTCTTTATCAAAGCCATACTTCCATATTTGTGCTTGGTTTGATATTATAATGTGATACTTTTCATTTTTGCATGTAAGTCACGTTTTTTATATTTACAAGCAGTGAATTATCACAATCACAACATATACAGCATGTTATCCGTTCAAATCGCCTCACACATCCCTCCCCTATTTCCCATTGTCATTTCTTCAAACAAACAAACCCTTCCTTTACTCTATTATGCATACAAATCACTACAAATGTTCACTCGGGATCCATTCCTCAACACCAACTTCGATTTCCACAAAAAACGCCGGCAGAACTTCCCCATGTCATTCATCAGTCCCGCTCGCGCATAGTGCATATACGCCGTACGATACGACGAACTACCCATCACACGCCCCCTCCATTCTCACTCCCGATGCACAATATCGAACGCAAACGCTTTCGTCAGCACGTAAAACTCATACCCTATTCATCACTCTCTCTCTCTCTTTATCCGCACCCGACAATCGCAGCAGATTAATCCACTGCACTTTATTGCACCCATAATTGACAAATCGCTCGTCAAACAGGAGCATATCCTTCGAATACTTCACCATCACATACCTTGCATTCATTCACTCCCTCCCTCATTCCTACGGCTCTTGCAGCTCATTCGCGAAGCATTTCATTCGAGCATAGCGTCCAGGCAGGCGGTACCAGTTATTATTCACATACAACTACCCTCAATTCCTCCCTCATCGCTCACATGCTGCACCGCTTTCCGCTTTCGATGCGAACACACGTTCCGAATCACGCAATCCCGCAGCTCCTTCTTGTTCTTCGGAGCCACATTCACCGTCCTGCGCTTCAGCGCCAAGCCTCAATCCTACGCGATCGCACAGTCCAGAAGGGAAGTGCAGTTCGACAGAATCGCTTCGAAGTTCTGGATAAACACGCAAGGAAGAATCACCGCAGCTTTCTCCGAATTTAGAATCGAATCAGGCAGGGACATGAGTTCTTCATAACTATTCGCTGGACAGTCATAATGATCAAGAATAACTGTACAGCTCGGCCACATGTCCATGTCAAGAACGAGGAAATGAGTCGTCCGGATCGTGAGAATTGCGATGTTTCGAAGGAGATTGATGTAGAAGGACTGGACGGTATCTTTTACCGGCTTTATAATGATCATGACGCGAGGAGGGAGGTGCAGGGATTGAATCGTTGTGAAAACCTTGGAAATATGCTTCCGTTTGGTTTGGAGGGCGATCACAAAGTCTCCTTGCCACCGTTCTAAAAGATACGGCAAAAATATGAGGCGGTTTTCTCTACGAAAAAGGAGAAACGTGGAACCCACGTGCAGGTGGATACAACAGAGACGCTGAATTTGGCAGAATAGGGAGGGAGCTTTCGAACTTCTAAAAGAACAAAACAAATAGTGTATAAAACCGCTGAGTAAATAGCGAGTGGAATTAATGAAAACTATGCAGTCATCGCAAATACCCTTTTGAGAGTTCGGAATGAATATGTCCAAATTCAAAACAGCTGGTAGGTTACTGAAAAATACAAATACTACCAGGTGGGATTGTAGGAGTGGGATCAGGAAATGTAGTGTTCGTTAGGGCTTTCTCAGTCACTTTAGAATTAAATGCTGCTTTGGGAACGATGGATTTTTTAGATGGCTTCGTACCAGCAGCGACCATTACGGAGTCTCTCTTAACTAGGATCAATATGCGCTATAAACAATACCAAAAGGACTTTTTGAAGTAGAAATGACCCAATTCTACGCTCACACGTCAAACCGAAACAATACATGATTTTCCTTCCTAGGTCTTATTAATTCTTGTGTTTTAGTTAGGGTACTTGTTAAAAAACTAGAACTGATTCACATGCAGAAAAGATACAAAAAGAGCAGAAAAGTAGCACAGCTTATTATAGATTTCACACTCAAGCCACCCATAGAGTCAATAATAAGGAAAGGAAGCAAAAAATGAGATAGGAAAGGGACAATAACAATTGTTTTAGTATTTTTAGTAAGAACGTGTGTTTGATGAAGGGTACGTAATAGGGACAATGAGCGTTGACGCGATTCCTGAACTAAGAGAGACGTTCGCATTTTGTGTATTTAGGAAAGTGAATGCAGTTGATTATGTTGTATAGAGTGAATGATATCCCTTGTAGTGAATAAAGGTAAGTCATGGTTTATTCCTTTGACTACTAGTCATGAACAAAACGAAGAGAAATCCTGCTTATGTGCATTCCTAACAAGCACACTCACTCTTTTTACACTCAGAGAAACCAGAATTATGAAGATCGCTTTCTGTCATTGCGTCCATGTACGTATTGTGTTATTTCTGAATACCATTCAAACAATCAAACACTGAAATACTTCGATCACTAGTAGTTGTGACGTGTAGAACCTTTCCTTTTTAATGTTTTGCTCACCACATGCACACCCCATTCAAATTCAAGCCATCATCATTTCCTGTATCGCTTTCTCATTGATCCATACAAACACAAATCAATACAAAACATCTAATAATTGCGTTCTTCCACTATAACAGATGAGATTCAAAAAACTTCTTAATCTGCTTCTTTTTCTCATTCTGATCGTTTGTTGCTACCGATCACACAAAGCAGATAGTGCTTACCTGTCCAATAAAGAAGGTACATGGCAGCGGCAATAAAAGAAAAAAGGATTCCTTTAGTGACTTTATTCTTCGTAGAATTGTTGTAGAGATCCCAGTAAACAGTCTCATCGATACAACGAACATCAAAGTCGGGAGAGTCGAACTCGAAAGGCGTTTTACTAAAATAGATGCCTCGTGTCGGTACGATTCCGCAAAGCTTAAGAGAATTCTAGAGGATAACACACATTACGTAAGCCAACTTCAAACTCTTTTATCTGCTCACAACTCACCGGATCACTAGAAAAATTACACTTGCAGTAGTAGCGTAATGGCCAGCCATAAGTAATATCGAAGGAGACAGGTTCTCCCCTCGAATTCGTAACGGTTTCACCAAGGCGGATTCTACAGTGACCACGCTTGTCGATGAGGTCCATACACTGTTTTAGAAACAGTTCACAGTTATAGTCCTTCGAAGTAGATAGCTGTCGAACAGGATTGAATCCTTTACATAAATAATAGGAAGGAAACATGTAAACTTTTTTGAAACTAGAAACCGCATGAAACATAATTCTTTGTCAATTCTACCCGCCTGTTTCCCTTTTTCTCTCGTCGCGATTTGGTGGTGAAAACTCGATATAGAAGCCGAGTGTGTGTGATTCACAGCGTGAGAGAATTGAATACACATATATTACTTGCACAAGGATAAGTACAAAAATCACGGTTATTTGGAACAAGTTGTTAATCGGGAATATAGAATTCTGGCGTAACCCAGCACTATTTCTGTTGTTGTTTTGGGTTGTATATAGTTTGCTTTTCTATACTTACCCAGTACTCGTTGTGATTCAGGATGCAAGACAACAAGGAATTATTGCTTGTTTTTCGAATTCGCCCTCAGAGTTCAGGAGTGCTTGATTTGATTCCTTCATTTCAAAAGAAATCAAACACCCTCTTGCATGTTTCGTTTCCGGAATCATCCTTTGTGCTTTTCGTCACTCTGTCTGATAAGTAGTATTATCACGAGGGAAAGAGAACCGAGGATTTTCCATGTGACCTTATTCTTGATCCTGTTGTTGATTTAGTAAGTGCATTTGAATGTTTAGTGATCTAGAATGGATTATATCAGCTATCTACAGAGCGTTGCGTTCAGGATTTGTTTTCCAAAAAGAATTCGTTGCTACTGCTCTATGGGAACACAGGAAGTGGTAAAACCTATAGCATTCACGGAGATAGTCAGTAGTCTCTGACAGTTGAGTTAACAGTAGTCATGAAGGCATTTTGCTCCATTCCCTTCGTCGGATCTTCGAAATCTCGCGTCAGCAAAACGAGAACTACTTTGTCAAGCTCTCTGTGATCGGGGTCTACGAGGAATCGTCAGTCGATCTTCTTGGGTAAAATCCTCCGATTTCCGTCATCCCCTAGTGCTACCGCCCAGCCGAAAGGAGCCTACTCTCCGTCGAACAATCCCATCTACATCGAGCAGCGCGTGATGTCCTTCCAGCAAGGCCGGTCGTTCCTCGACAAATCCCAACAAAACCAGTGCGAGTTCGAGACGCGCGAGCGTTTTTCCGCCGCCGACGCGCACATTCTCTACGTTCTCCGTCTCATCCAATGTACCTCCCGCGGTTCTCTCACCCGCCCAGACGTCAACGGCATGGAACGCCCCGTGGGGGTGCTGCGGATCGTCGATCTGGCGGGGTGCGAGTCGAGCAAGACGGTGAACAACCGCGGGCAGATCGTCTTCGTGCCCAAGCGGAGCTCCGTCTCGCTGCAGATGCTGCTGAAGTGCCTCGCGACGATGTTCGCAGCGCCCGTGCGCGCGGAGAGAGCGGCTCATAGCGTAGGGAAAGCCCGCGCAGCTGTCGGTCAGCACGTTCCACTTCTGCCAGCTCACCGTGCTGCTCAAAGATCACTTCTTCGCGAAGAGCCCGGGGAACGTGGTCCTCATCCACACGGTGGCCAATGAGACGCGAGACGTCGACGCCGAGGCACGTGCGCTGATTTCTCTGCTGCCAATCCTGCCAAAAAAAGAAGGGATTTCGGAGACAGACGGAGAAGAACCGTGCGTGCTGTGTCCAGCCTGCACGAAGAAAAGGGAGTTGCTGGAAGAGCAGATCCGCGAAAAGGTCGTTAAAGTAGGGGGTATTTTTGGAATTCCAGAAATAGGAGGTTTTGAAAAGACGACGAACTGAATCGACGCAGATTCCCCAGAAATCGGGGCTTTTTTTGGAGATCCAGAGTATGGTAGGGAGTGTGGAAACGTGGAAACGAAGATGGGCGAATCGACGATTTGGCGGCAGATGGAAACCACGCAATTAGGGGAGTTACTTCGGCGTTACGACGAAGATATGCTGTATGTCACGGCGGAATTGGAGAGCAGTACGTCGTGGCCAATCGTAGAAACGTAGAAACCAGGGAAACCGAGTCACTGCAGCAGCAACTGACCGAGAAGGACCAGAAATTGAACAGTTTGACGGAGACTTTGAGTATTCCAGAAATCGGGGGAATATTGTCTAGGCGAAAAAAAGGCCGAAATTGTGCAGCTGAATCACTTGGTCTCCATCCTCAAAAAGTCCCAGCCGCGCTGGGGAAACGCCCAGTCGCCCGCCAAACTTTCTCCGGAGCCCCCGGTTCCCGCCAAAATTTCCCCGCCGCCCCAGAAATCCCCGCCGCCGCTTCCTTGGATTCGGCCCGAAAGTGGAAACGGGGAAACTGGAAGCACCCTTCGAAGCACCCTCACCAGCACACAATCCACTTTCCCGCGGTTACCCACCCTTTCCAAATCGTCGAAACCGTCGAAACCGTCGAAACCACCCACAATCCCCGCGGTTCCGCCGTCTCCGCCCAGAATGCCTCCCATTCCCGCGAGAAGCCTGTCCGCTTCCTCCCTGTCGAAACTCCCGCCGAAACCCCCCCTTCCCTCCAGACCGCCTTCCCCGCCCCCCGCGGTTCCGCTGCCCCGCCAGCGGCCCCAATCTCCCGCGGTTCCGCCGCCTCCGCCGCCTTCGCCTCCCGCCGCCAAATTTTCTTCGCCTGCCGCCAAATTTTCTTCGCCTCCCCCCGCGGTTCCTTCGGTTCCCGCGGTTCCCGCGGTTTCTTCGCCCCGCCAACGGCTCCAGTCGCCCGCCACGCCGCCTCCGAAACGCCCGGTTCCCGCCAAACCGGCGCCGGTTTTGCCGCCGCAATTGGCGGGAAAAGGGAGTTTCTTCGTGATCGACCCGGTTTCTCCCGATGAGTTGCTGCACGATTCTTCGAGATTCCCGCGGGAAGGAGGCGTTTCGCTGAGCGATGAGAGGGACTCGGAGGATTCGTCGCGTTCTTCGAATTCGATGGAAGAGTCGGTGGTGTGGAATTCGAAGGAAGGGAAGGGCGGAGGGAGCGGGACGGTGCGGCAATTCCCACATGGGTCGACTTTGCTGCACCAAGCGACGACGAGCCATGGACACATGACGATCAAAGATATAGACGAACTGGCAGGGACGATTCGACTGAGCGAATTGGAAGCCTCGCTGGATTTGGAGGAGGAGAAAGAGAAAGAGAAAGAGAAGGCAAAGACAAAGACAAAGGGAGAGAAAGAGGAGGAGGAGGAGGAGAATGTGCGTGTGAGTGATGTGTTGCGAGGGTCTTTTATGGATGATTTGTTGGAGGAGGCTATGAAGGATGTGTAAGATAGTTGTATTGTATTGCATGTTCGGTGTGTTGGACTGTTTGTGTGGAACAAACATCGAAATCCCATTCATCGGTTAGTTCATCACGAAGTTCTTCTTCTTCTTCTTCTTCTTCTTCTTTACCATAACCAAATCGGGGCGCTTGATTTACACGCTTATTGTCCCACTTCAACACAAATCCATCCCGTCCTCCCGAATATCTACGCCTGATTCTCTCGCCAATTCAACCAACAATTCGTTGTGGGATCGTCGAAAACTGCAGCAAATCGCCGCGTCCACATGACCGTGCAGCGAATTCACAATCTTCCCATTGCACAAATCGATGCATTTCACGACGCAATTCGTTGGATCCGGGAAAAAGAGAAACGATTCGTCTCCTTCTCCAGCCACGCACGGTTTCGGAATCACATTTCCCCACGGCGAAACTCCCTCAATGCGCATGTCGATCGCATCATACGTATTCCCGCGGAACAGTTTGATTGGGTTTGCCTCGGAACTCGTGCAAATTATCGTGTTTCCATTCGGAGTAAACTGAATCGACTGAATGGGCGTTTCAGAAATCGGAACAGGGCTGTTTTTTGGAGTGTTGTTTCCTAAAACGCCCAGCACATTGTTCAACGCGGATTTCCGAATGTCGTAAACGAGCGCGTATCCCCGCGAATCACCAACGATTAGCTCGAATTCATTCAGCGGATTCCAGCAGCAGCACGCTGCGTCTCCCGGGTTTTGACGGATTGTTTGGGTTCGATTCCCCGAGTACAGGTCGACTAAGGTCACGCCCAGGGAGGAGCTGCAGACAGCGATGAGCTTGTGTGTGAAAGAACCTTCGGATGGCATTTGCACATCGAGAATCGGAGCTTTGAATTTGAAATTGGAAATGATGTCGAAGGTAGAAGTATCCCAAATCTAGATTCAGCAAACTGGAAAGAGTGAATACGTTGAGGAAACAGTCCGTACTTGCAGATACGAATAAACCATTGTCAATCGGATACCAAGAAAGAGCAGTGATTCGTTTGTGGTGACATCTACTCATTATGAAGAGTGTGAAATCATACTCGGGATGTGCTTCACTATTTGATATTGCGATTTCTGTTCGAAAATAGGACTTGTTGTCTAACATGCGCAAATTGAATAATCGAATTCGACCCATATTATCTCCTGAAACTAGGCTATTTGTAACGATGGTGCAAAATCAGTACAATTTGTTTTCGGTAGAATCAACTTGGATACAACTAATATACGACTTATTGTGAATTTTGAGGTTTGTTCTAGCTAACGAAAGGTGTTTTATTTCTGAAACAAACGCTTTCCTAAGAAGAACGGTATGCATTGTTTCTTACTCTCGAATCCGTTTGAATTCGTCAAAGAAACGCGGAGACCGGTAGGAAATGAACTGCTCCACATTCATTCTTTTTTTCTGCGAACAAACAATTCAACTATTTTTTATATCACTATTCAGATTTCTGTCTTTCTGTTATTCTTTCCTTCCTTCTCCTCTCTGCTGTCCCCCGTGCTCTGTTTCTCTTTCATCTCTTCCTTCAATTCCTCTATCTCAACATTCAGATTTAATGCATTCAACGCATTCACTGAATTTACTGCGGCTACTGTGGCTACTGTGGGTAGTGTGGGTAATGCAGGTAATGTGGGTGGTGATGTCAAACCGGGGAAACTGGGAATCGTGGAAATGGTGGGTAACGTTGGAAGCGCGGGAAGGGCAAACGGAGAATCCTCCGAAAACGCGGGGATCGCATCTGCAGATTCGCTGTTTCCACGGTTTCCACTGTTTTTGGTGGTACGTCGAAGTGGCGTAAAGCCAAGCGAAGATGGAGAAAAGGGGAAACCAGGGAACCCGGAGATCGAATCGAGGCGAAAAGGGGAAGGAAAAAGGGAAACCATCGATCGATTGGGGGAAACCAACATGACAAACGGAGAATTCGGATTGGAATTCGAAATGGAATTCGATGGAAAGATTCGTTTGGGTGAAAGAATGAAATTCGAATTCGAAAGATCGATTTTCGGATCCATCAGATCCAAAAATTCGACCTTTTTTTCATTTTCCAAAAATTCGACCTTTTTTTCATTTTCCAAAAATTCGACCTTTTTCTCATTTTCCAATCCACCATACTCATAATCGCCACTTGTCCATAGTTGATCATCATCATCATCATTTCCAAAAATCGGGACCATTTCGATATTCTTCAGGAGTTTTTCTGGAATTCCAGATTTCGACGGTTTTTTCTGCTTCCTCGCCATTCGACGGCGATTCGGCAGTTTCCACTCCTCGTCCTCATGCGGGCGTTTCATCCCTCCTCGATATCCGTTTTTTCTGGGCGTTTCATTCACTGCCGCCACGCGCCGCGATGCAACCACCACATTCCCGCGGGAATTCCGTCCCGCTTGGGCACCGCTCTTTGCGAAATTGGGTTCCTGCATCCACTTGAATGGCGTTTCATCGATCAAACTGGAGGCCGCTGGAATCGCGGGAATGCTCACGGAGCTCTGATAGGACTCCAGAAATCGGAGGTTTTTCTGGAGGTAGGGGAGATCCATAACGAGGACGACGTCGCGCTGAAGGAACATTCGAAGAACGTACATCCAGACCTCCTCGATGGGAGAAGGCCGGATTTCTGGAATTCCGGAAGGGTCGGGGAGTTCGTAGAAGTAGGAGGGAAGGCAGATCATGATGTTGTTCCCTTTGTTGTACGTCGTGTGCGATCGGTTCGCTTCTATGCTGAAATAGTGCCGATTTTTGGAACCTGCGGTGCGGTCGAGATCGGACAAAGTCCATTCCAGCGCGTCGGTTTTGCGTTTGAGGATCCCCAGGCCGCACAGAACGCTGATGATGTCGTAGAGCCGGCGTTCCACGCCTATTCGATGAGAACCGCGGTGAACCCCGGCTTTTCTCGCGGTCTTGGAGGGATTTGGAGTACGCTGCGTGGGGTTTGGAGCGGTGCGCGAGGTTGAATTCGCGGAGAACGAGCGGCGTGATGTCCTGCTGATTGAACGTGGAACGGCCCGATTTGAAATAGAGAAACAAGTACTTGAGGAACTTGATGGTGATGTGCTTTGTCGTGCTCTCTTCGGGGTTAAAACGCTCTTCGCTGGGCGTTTCATCGTCGGATTTCTTTTTGAAGCAGTGGGAGAAACTGCTCTCGAATTCTTCGAACTAAAAGATAGATCGGGAGGGAGGCGTCGATACGGGAGTGGTTTGGAGGCGAGTCAGAAGAGAGCGCATGGCTCCGAAGCCTTCCCAGCCATAGTAGCGATAGCAGGTTCGGCTCAAGAGGGCTAAACAGCTAAGAACGTGGATGATATCGTAGATGCGACGGCGTGTGATGTCTTATTCTTGGAGATTTGGGAGTGCCTACGCAGTTGGTCTGAAAGAGCGCTTGGATTCACGCTGGTAGATTCGCCGTTCGCTTGACGACGCAGAATTATAAGCACCATTTCGGTAGTGATGAACTGAAGAGACTTCTGCCTCCGTCTATTTCTCAATCGAACATCTCGATTCCCTACTTTCCTTGAATACTCTTTGTAGAAACACTTCCTGTGGGAGTTGAAAATCTAGGATTCGTTCTATTTAAATCAAGCGTGTACTCTATATCAATATTCATTTCTGGCAAAGGGCTATCAAACGGAATCTTAGGGTCTGAGGTGGGAGGCGAGGATTCTTCTCCCTTCATATCTATACTGTCCTCTGGACGATAACTCTCCTCAGACATCTTTCCAATCCAAAACAAGTCAAATACTTGAAATAAAAGAGAGAACAGAACTAGCCAATGAAAAGGCTCGGGCGTTTCTTTTTTGCTTCGTTCGCCTCCAAATATGCACGGTCCATTTTATTGTGCTAACAATATCAGAAATCAATTTTATCACTATGTTGCACTCTCTGATCGCATTCTTGCCATTCTGGAAGCAATCGTGTGCTTCAGGCACATTTCTTGTTGTGGGTGCTATGGAAATTGCCAACGAATTTCAATTCTATCATTTTTTATAATAATAATAATAGACTGAGTCTCATTTCTTTCCATAACGGATTTTGACTTAATATCACTAGTTCTACTTATAGTCCATTTTTTGGCGGAAGAAATCAGGTCCCATGGTGTAATGGTTAGCACTCAGGACTCTGAATCCTGCAATCCGAGTTCAAATCTCGGTGGGACCTTTTTTCTCCCAACTTTTGATTGTTTTGGTTCAAAATGCCGAAGGAAATAAAAGACTTTTTTGTCAAACCAACTTCAGTCGCAGAGAAGCGAAAGGAGGCACTGGAAAAACGGCAGAAGCTGCTAAAGGAATTAAAAATCACTGAAGTCTCTGCTTTTGTGAGTGATTTTATGCTCAGATAAATAAAGATTTGGAAAATGCTGTAAAAGAAAAGCGCGCGGCAAAAAAAGCGGAAAAAGAAATCATCCCCGACCAACCCGTTCGGAAATCGCGTCGCCTTCAAGGAGTCGCGCCAGAAATCATTTTGGATGAGTTTCGCTACATGGAGCGGAAGCCTCAAACGCATTCGATCTCCCTAGAAGAAGACCCAGCGAAAGAAAAGGAGGGGAAAATCGTATTTCGTTGTCTCCGTCTCTAACCCAGTCATACGATGGGAATTTCGATGCTTCCGAACTCTCCACCCAAGGTGATGTCGACTCCTTCTTCGAATCCCTCAAAAAAACCACTCCTTCCGATTCCTCAGAAGGTTTCTCCGCCACTCTCTTCTCTCCTAGTGGTCGATATCGCCCAATGGATCCCCAAAGTCTCATGCAGCGGTTGTATCAAAGTGGTTCCAGAACGAATCTACAGCATGGCCATTCACCCCCAAACCAACCCCCTCCTCGTAGATTCTCCCTCCTTTTTCGCTTATGGATCAGGTCGCCGTGGGAGACAAAGGCGGGAAAATCGGGTTTTGGAGCTTGCCTGCATCATTTGATCAATCCACACTCCCCGTCCTGGAAGACGGCAAACGGGACATTTCGGGTCTGGGAACGTCGTGGGAGTTTCAGATTTCGAATGAGTAGAAACGTGGAAAGGAAGTAAGAAGCAGACCCGTGACGAGGCTGTTTTTCCAGAACGATGGAATGAGTTTATATTGTTGTTCATATGACAAGTCGATTAAACGACTTGACGTTGAAACGAAAAAATTCGAAACTTTCTTTAAACTCGATAAGAACTTTGATGAGGACATTTTCTTACACCATTGCGTACCTTTTCCCAATTCCGAGCATTCCTTCCTTGTGAGTCTCAGCAATGGGTATTGTCATCGAAAGAACGTGAGGAATAGAGAGATTTTGACAATTGATGAGAGAAGTGGCAAAATAGAATCCTGCTTTCAGGCACACACAAAGAAGGTCAACACAGTAAGCAATTTCTAGATGCTCAGATTATTAGATCGATGTTCATCCCTCAAAATCCTATATTCTGACCGCTTCCCTTGCGCGGTCTGTTAAATTGTGGGACGTACGGAAACTCCCGAAGACTTGGGAGCCTCACTTTCATGAGCGAGAAAAACTTCCGACTTGTCTCGATTGTTTACATGAATACGAGCATTCGCTCTCCGTAAATTCAGCGTTTTTTAACGCTACTGGCGAGATGATTGTCACGACCTGTCAGGACAACCATCTTCGCGTGTTTCCCACAATCACAGAGCCGGAAAAGGAAGATTGTTGCGCTTCCATAAGCCATCGAAATCAGACTGGCAAATGGCTGACAAAACTGATGGCACTTTTCTACAAGCCTTTAGGCGTAAAGATGAAAAACAATGAAGTTAACTATTTTTATTGTGGATCCATGCAGGAGCCAAGACAAGTGAATGTTTTGCTTCTTTGAATTTGTTCTCTAGATGTACTCCGTTGCTTTGACAGCGTCCAGGAAGCCCGTTGTGAAGATGCTTCCATCCTTTTTTTCACCGCATATTTCTTCGATCCAGTCGGTGGTCAACATGCATCCCAGTTACCCGATGATTGCTTGTGCAAATACAAGTGGCAGGGTCGTTATCCTAGTTTGCTCTGTTTGTTTTTATAACTGAATGAAACCGACATTGGATTCTTCACTTTTTAATTTTATGTTTACCATTCACAATCTGCAACCGGATGTAATTGAGGAGACGGCCACTTTGGGACTTGGGAGCAACGCAACTGTTATGCTGGGGTTTGGTTTTTTCCGGTGATGTCTAACTTTTAGACGATACGACAATAGAGATGTTGCTCTAAAGATATACAAGTCCAACGACTATGCTACCAAGGTTGAGGCTTTGAATGAGGTTTCTATATATTCCCGCTTGAAAAATCAACCCCATGTGGTTAACTGTTATGGTATGTACTACAGAAACGGCGCCCCAGTTCTTGTATTGGAAAAGGCGCAGAAGTCACTGTATAATGTATATAGAGAAGAAAGAGTAAGCCGTGCTCAGTATTCTTTTTTTGTTGATCTTCATTAGATATAATTGGCCAGCTATAAAGGACCGTGCGATGCAAATTTCTTTTGGATTGAAGTCGCTCCACGACATTAACATTTCTCACGGTGATGTTTCTGTTTGGTTTTTCAATTCTTTTCATTTTTAGTCGAAAAACTTCTTGCAATTTGAGGATAATGTGTTGAAAATAAGCGATATGGGATACGCTCAGGTTATTGAAAATGGTTTTTTTTATGATCCTTCTTGCCGTTGTTCTCTTTATGCGTATCTCTCATCATTCTCTAGCCATTATAGGGCTGCACCCGATTTTTTGTTGACTAGCAAGCGATCTTTGAGTACTGACATTTACTCTCTGGGTATGGTATTTTTGGAGCTTGTGAAGGGTGGTTTTGCATACACGCAGCAAGACCTAGAGTGCTTTATGGTAAACAATGTGATGGACACCAATACTGTAAGTGATAAGCAATGTGTTTTTTAATGAGTAGTTTGTTCAGCATATCCTTTATGGACAGCGACCTTCTATTCCTAGTGAAGTGCCGGATTGTAAGGGCTGTGTGTAAAGATCTAACGAATAGATTTTGCGGATATTATCCGCTGGTGCTGGATAAGGGAAACAGAGAGAAAGAAACGACCCACTATTGATCAGGTGATCGAACGACTTGAGGCGTGGGATGTGGACTAAGTCGGTACGATTCTTGTGTAGTTCTGTATGAGCATGTTTGTTTGGAACAATAGAAATAACAATAAAGAAACTAAAAGCTTAATCAAAGTTGAGCTCGTCAAGTCGCCAGTCTTCGAACTTGCCGCTAGGAAGGAATCTGCGAATAATAAGCGGAATCTGAACGATTCAGAAGAGAAAAAAAAGAGTTTACCTTCTTTTGTCTTAATTCCTCAAGAGCGATCTGAAGCGTGTCCGTTTGGCCATTCACTTCGACCATGGGGGGAGCATTCATGCTAAATGTTACCCTTTTCTCGGAATAACCTACCTAAGCTGAAGAGCTCGAGTACCGAGGATACGAGCTCGTTCGTACTTTGTAAGATATGGGGTTGTCACTCTCTCAGAGATAGGAGTCATTCTTTCCTTCGGGGTTACAATTTGAACTCCGTTTTCAACTACATCGTTTTCTACCTAGAGAATGAATCGAACCCATTAAGAAGCCTTACTTCCATGTTTAGGATAGAAATTGACTTGATACAAAAAAAAGGAGTGAAAACCCAAAACCAAAAAACAAATCGTTTTGTGCGTGTTCTAGAAATGGCTCGAAACCAGGAAAAGCAAATCGCAGAATTAAATGTTGCTACCTGCTGTTAGGAAATAACGATAGAGATTTGTTTTAGCAGCTGAGAAGGACAAGTCTCACGAGCGAGTTCGTCCTCCACTGTATTTTCTTGTCTGGATCATTGATTATAGAAGCAAATTGCATTCAGCCGATGCAATTCGAAGATGGATTCCCAGTATCAAGTTTGAAATGAACTATGCAATTCAGCAAGTATTGGTCTTTATAGTGGTAAATAGCATAGATCGAGGGAAGTCGAAATTACACAGATGCGAAGATCCGAGAATTTCAGCAACGCCTATCAGAAGTACAGTATAGGTTATCAGTAAAATTGTAGTTGAAAACTGAATATGAAGAGTTTGTGAAAAAGGCCATGGAGCTTGATCCGAATCCAATGTGGATACCAGGAGAGCGCCATTCATATGTTTCAAAAAAGGCATTTGCTGAATCTAAGGTAAAAGGTGAAGTGGTCACTCGTGACTTTTAGCGTTCTTCTCTATTGGAAGATAAAGAAATGAAAGAGTTAAAAGAGGCTGATCAACACGATCGATCTAAAATGCAGAAGAAGGCAACTCACGTTTCCTATCCTCTCCAATCGCTGTTGAATCCTTTGACTCGTCAAAATGACGAAGATTCCGATGAGCCGTCAAGCGAGGCAAGTCAGTCAAACGATAATGATCGGCCAAATGAGTTAAGTGGATTGAATGAATTACATGGATTGAACGAATTACATGGATTGAATGAGTCAAGTGGATTGAATGAATTACATGGATTGAATGAACCAAATGGATTGAACGAGCCACTTGGTGAAGACGAAGTGGCTAGTAGTAGTAGTAGCAGCAGTGAGGAAATCGCCACGCCTCTTGCAATTCGATCTGAAAAAGTAATGAATCAGCAAGATGTAGAAGCGAGTGAGAACAGAACGATGTTACGTCGTGGTTTTAATAGTAATTGTGTACGATATTCTTTCCCCAAACATTGTTTTGTTTGTTAAACGAAAGTAGGAAGAAGAATTGGTACCTATTGAACAATCCATCCATCCATCACATCACAAGAATGCATAAATGAATGAATGAAGTCATAATTCTTTAATCACATAGCTTCGAACTCATTCAACAATTCAATCCTTCAATGATTTCTCCACAATTCATAAAGTAATATCAACTCTGGTTCTCTTCAACAAACAAGCAAACATCCAACCCTTCAAAGAAAACTACCAAGGCTTGACGAGTCCACCATATGCAAAAACGGCAATTCCTCGCCTGAAAACGCGTCGTTCGAGTTCATCACGCTGATATCCGTGCTCCCACAACTACTCTCTGATTCCTCATTCTCGTCCCTACTGCCTGCAAATAAACGTGTGGTCACTATTATCCAAATTATGCGGTAAATGCGACCCTGCACTCTGCCTCTTTTTGTTATACTCCTCCATTTCCAAGCGAAAGCGCTCCTTTCCATCAACAATCTCACTCATCAACCTACCAAATAAGGCTTCTTCGATTCTTCGGACATGGTTCGCCACGTTTTCGAGATTCGTTTCGAACACTCGATAAAGGGGAGTTTCACCTGGAACTCAGCCGATAATTCCATGGAATACGCCTTTCGATCGAAAAGACTCGTATTGCTCTCGTAAAAACTGAGTAAATGGAGGGACGGGACGACGCAGAGAATCATCCGGCTGTGAAACAGGGAGAGAAACCTCCTGGTGAGCTTCTAAAGTCTGCTTCAGCTTCCTCAATTCATCGGAAAGCATTTTGTTCTACAGATCATTGCAATCAAAAGGTCGCACTTGCTCGCGAAGCTTTTTATAGTTCTCAGCAAACTTTTTATACTTCTCCAGCTTTCGAAGGAGCTTCAGCTCGCGCTGCTCGCTCTTTTCTAAAGTATGCCAGTTCTTTATATGCTGCTTCACATCCGCTTTTGTCTTAAACAGCTTGATAGGAGAGGTACAATGTTCGAACCTGAAGAAAAAACCAAATAGCGAAACCTACGGACATTTCTCTGTGCGTATGTTAGAGTGAGAAAAGGAATGTCGGACTAACTGCGCATTGACGTAAAAAGACTTTCCACAGCCTTCTACAGGACATGTAAAAGGACGAATCCCAGTATGGATCTTTTTGTGAAGGATCAAAGACCGAGACGCGGAAAAATACTTTCCACATTCATCGCATCTACATAGAATGTGGTTTACACTGCATTACCGGAAATCCGTAATTGTGTGGGTTTTGGAAGAGCAGTCTTCTGGAAGACGGATCTCTATATCTTGATCATCTTCAGTGAGACTGAATGACATCGCTTCACTGTTTTGATATTCTTGTTATAGATGATTGGCGCACGAGTTTTTCTTTTTAACAAATCAAATATAATAATAATAATAACATAATAATAGTAATGATTGGCAAGTATCATATTGCAGGAATTGACTTGGGAACCTGTAATTCTACAATTGCTATATTTAATAATGGTGTAATATCTCTAGTACAAGATCCGAATGGAAACCGGTCTCTTCCATCTATGATATCTTTTCTCGATAATACTATATTATATGGTATGGACGCCAAGAACCGTCAGTATCTAAACCCTGAACGTACTATCTATGGCATTAAACGTATCCTTGGACATCGGTTTTCTTCAGATGTCGTTCAAAAAGAAGTAGAAAGATTTCAGTTTAAAGTAATTCCAGGCGTGAGAGATCTCCCTCTGATCCCTGTAAACTATCGAGGAGCTATTCAAATTTTGCGTCCAGAGGGGATTAGTTCTCGTTTGATTGGCTATTTGGTTAGTCTAGCGGAAAAAGCTCTTGAGGATAGTATCGTTGATATCGTAATCACATGTCCCGCCTATTTCGATGACAACCAGCGCCAAGCCACAAAGGATGCCGTAACAATCGCTGGCTACAACGTTTTGGAAGTTCTGAACGAGCCAACTGCTGCAGCAATCGCTTATGGAGTCAATGTAGAGAAGAAGAACCAGCCTTTCCTTGTGTATGATCTGGGTGGTGGTACTTTCGATGCTACGCTGATGATAAACGAAGAAGGAACGTATCGCGTGATGGGCACAACTGGAGACACCCATTTAGGAGGCATGGACTTCGACACGTTCATCAAAGACATCATTGTGAAGAAGTTCGAGCTGCAGGGCTACAAAATCGATATGAGCAAAAAGAAGCATGTAGCTGATCTCTGGCAAACCGCCGAGCGAGCCAAAATCGAGTTGTCTTGTAGCGACCGATCGTTGATCATGGAGGACATGATCGGCCCCAACCCCGAAATCGAAGTGTATCGAACCGAATTCGAGGAGTTCGCTCGCCCTCTAATCGAATCCACGATTGAAAAAGTGTGCGAAATGCTGGCGTATGTGCAGGTGCCCATCAGCGATCTCTGCGATATCGTTCTGATCGGCGGATCGAGCCAGATTCCCCTCGTTTCCACGATGTTGGAGGCGCGTTTTCGGATCAAACCCTCGCAGCGAATCAATGGCCAGGAGGCCGTGGCGATCGGCGCGTTGATGCGCGCGTTGGAGTTGAAATGCCGCACAGATTACCCAGAAACGATCGAGGATTTGGAGAAGGAGCTGCACAACCTCTCCCCCATCATTCCGGTGATCAACGCGATCCCGCTGCCGATCGGCATTCGCACTTCACGCGATGAGTTAAGCATCGTTCTCCCCAAATACACGCGCTACGGAGCCACACACAAGGTGATGTACCAAACCTCCGATGACAACCAGCAGCGCTTTATTTTTGAAGTCTATCAAGGAGAAAACAGCATTGCGACCGAGAACTGCTTTATCGGGAAGCTGGTGATCGAAGGAATCGAGCCGGCTCCGAAGGGCACAAAGAAGATCCAGCTGACGATGAGCTTGGATCAGAACGGAATTCTGACGATGTCGGTGGAGAATCCGGAAAACCACGAGACCAAACTCGTGGAGTTCTTGAAGCAGAGCACGAATCTGTCACAGGAGGAGATCGAGGCGATGCAGATGCAGGTGCGGCAGGAGAATGAGTTTAATCGCCTGCAGGAGCAGAGAGAATCGGCGAAGAACTTCGTGTTGCGGATTACACAGACGATCAACCAGTTGATACTGGATAATCGGTTCCCGACCGATTTGATGGAGGAGGCGCAGTCGTTTGTGGGACAGGCCGAGGGTTTAAATCCCCAGTCCGATAATGTTTTCTCTCTGGAGGCTACTGCGAGAGAGTGGAATTCGCGTTTGCTAAATTTGTGATCGTGCTGTTTGTTGAAAGAATCGAAGGAAGAAGGGTATTTAAGTACAAAACCGCAAATCTAAGTGAAACTCCCTGTGTTGGTGAGCATATAAATACTCGATTATCGGATTTTGAGAAGGTATTTCCTCTACGGGGTACCCACCAACCGAGACCGTTGAGGTGTAGATTGTTCAGCTGAAAAATGGGAAATTCTTTGTCTTCGGATGATTTCAAGTGTATAGGAGGCGAGGGTTGGTATGAAGTGAGTTGTTGGGGTAACCTGCGATAATCTCGATAGGAACGATGTTCACGGAATTTTCTTGTATCGGTTACATCCAAGCTTTTCGGAGAGAATCCCACCCTTCCCAATGTCTTTCGAGAGAACGAATCGATCCGTTTCTCTCGAGTCCAAAACATTCGTCTTTCAGAGAGTCTTCGAAAGATATGTATGCGAGCTCTCGCCTCCTGATGCGCAGATCTCGACAATATTCGCAACTATTCACTCAAAAGTGGCTCGGGCGTGCTGCAATCCGACGACACGCTGGGACTGGAGACTGTGCATCTGCAGGAACTCTCCGTGATCGTCAACACCACCAGCCCCTTCGAGGAGTTCTTTATCCGCCGGAACGCTCTCATCATCTTCATGCACCGAATTCTCCGTTCCGCGCAGATCAACAACGCCTCGCTGCGCCCAGCCCTCCCAGGCGCGAACACCTTCTGCACCTGCAAGTCCGGAGCTCTCCCCTCCCCTTCCTTCTAGTCGGAATCACCACCTTGAGTTCTGCCCCATGCACGACATCCTCGACGACGAGAAAAAATGTACTTTCTTCGCCTCCCGCTCACTCCCAGTCCTCTTCCCGACCCTCCAGCCGGGCATGCGCGTGCAGCGCGGCCCCGACTGGCAGTGGACGGACCAGGACGGCGGCGTGGGCCATCTGGGGACCGTCATGACGATCAAAGAGTGGAAGGGGTTCCCGATGGGCGGCGTGCGCGTGCACTGGGACGACATGACGACGGGGAACACCTATCGGTACGGAGGGGAGAACTGCTACGACGTGGTGCTGTAGGCGCGGTGTGAGGTTGGAACGTAGTGCGAATCCGCTGTCGCATAAGGATTATCACGTGTCGCAGGGCGTGGAGTATCCGTCGTGCCGTGAGCTGCGCGGAGGAGGAGTGAGGAATAGTCTCGTGGAGCCATTACTGCAACGTGTATCTAAGCAGCGGACTGGCGAAGTCGCGCGGTCTGTTCCACGCGAAGATCGGCAGGCAGCGGCTGCAGCTGATGCTCCCGCAGTTTGATTTGGACGCGAAGGTGGACGGTGGGAATGGCTGCGAGTCGTCACGCACAGAGCATTTCGCGCTGGAGGCGTTCGACGTGGTGAAGGAGGTCATGACGCTGGCCGTGCAGGATAGTTTCGTAGCCAATGGGCCGGCATGTGAGCTAGGAATTCCTCGACAATCGGCGCAACCCCGCGCGCGTGTTTGAGCGCAACTCCTGCTCGCAGAGCGCGCGAATGGAGGTGCTGTTCCCCTTCCAGATCTATTTGTTCTCGCAGGTGCAGGGCGATTTGGAGAACCACCGCACGGAGACCTTGATCCTAACGCGCTATCTGGAGCTGATCTATCGCAGTGCGCGCGATCTGATCGAGAAAGCGATCTGCTGCTTCTGCCAGCAGCGCGCGACGGTGAAGGAAATCGTGTCCTGTCTGCAGCACAGCATTCTCCAGCAGCTCGTGCCCTTCGTGATGACGTGTCTCTACTGCGGCTCGCTCGATGACTCCATCATGATCGCCGCGGACAACCAGATCAGCGAGCTGGTGCGGCTGTGGACCGGCTTTTTGAACGTCGCCAATCTGGACGTCGATTCGACCGGCACCGAGGACGCCATCCAGAACGGACTCTTCAGCAAAATGTACGGCAGCGTCGCGTCGGCCGCCACGCCCTGGTACTTCTCGCTGCTCTACATCCTCGTGGCCGCCGACTCGCGGTATATCACGGGCTTGGCGCCCGCGCTGGTGCCGCTGGACCCGAAAGACGAACTGATGATCGTGTGGGAGCGCTCGTACATTCTCAGCGGCGGGCTCGCGAGGTTTTCATTCCGGTGAGGCGCGCTCACGGGTAGCGATGTGAGTCTAATCGAGGATCGCGACTTCCTCTACCCGCTCTACGCGAGCCGCGATCCGATGTCCAAAGTGCTGCTGACCTGGCTGGACTCGCACTTCCGCGAGCCCATGTGGAAGTCGAAAATGTACCGCAACCGCGAGCTGGAGTTCAAAGTGTTCATCGTGCTGATCCACCTCTCCCGTCTGGAAGGGTTGCTCCGCCAGATGGTGAAGAAGCTGCAGGGTGCGTCAGCGGGAATTGCCTGAGGGATAGAGCAGGACCCAGCGATCGTGCCGGTCCCCGAGGAGATCCGCCTGGTGTGGAGGGGCGTGATGGACGTTCGCGAGCATCTCCGCGCGAAGAAGCAGGACTTCCAGATCACCAAGGACGTGAAGGGCATGCAGCGAAGCACTTCCTTCTCGCTGAATCGCCATCGTCGCAACCGGACCCCGTCGGTTCTCTCCGAATCCGAGAGCGACACGGAAGAGATCCGGCTGGACCGCTACATGAGCAACGACCGGCTCTCCTCGACCAATCTCCCGAGCGTGCAGTCGACCAACTCGATCTACTCGAGCGGGTCGGACAGCGAGACGATCCTGGTGGACCGCAGCCAGTCCGACATCATCAACGCGCAGATCAATGCGCTGAACTCATTGAACTCGCTGCCTTCGGCGAACGCGATGCGCGTCTCCGAATCGCCGTTGGAGCCGCTGCCCGCCTTGGAGACGGAGTACGTCGAGTTCGACCCGGATTTGGCGAAGTCGTTTAAGAGTCTCCACGATTTGGAGCGACACTACAGCGACAAACTGGATCTCTTGATGAATCTGAACCAGCCCTTGGACATCACATCGCACGAACTGGCCTATCAATACAACACCTACCAGCTCGACACCCGATTCAACATCCGATCGAGCGCGCCGTCCCAGCTCCCATCCGAAGACGACGATCTCCCCGCCTCGATCACAGAGACCGTCGTGCAGAGCGTGAAGGGCTTCCTGCTCAACACGTCCTCGCTCTCCGCAGAGGACATCGAAGCCCATCTCCGCCAGTGCATCCAATCCGCGATCGACCGCGCGCAGGCCTACATTGACTCCATCGAGATCTTGAAGCAGCTCAAAACCTTCCCGCAGGCCTCCCGTCTGTACCTGCTCGGCGTGCAGTCGGCGCTGATGTCCACGCCGAACGCGGCCACCTACCACTCGCGCCTCTCGCAGTTCAGTCCGTTCACGAACAGTCTCGACGAGATCCAGATGGCCGATTTCATGGCGAACATCAACGGCGTGGGGCGCGAGTACATCCAGAAGATCAACAACTCCATCCTGGAGTTCTGCAGCTATCTCAAGCAGCTCTGCGAGCAATGCTGCGAGCAGTTGCAGTGGCGCCTCGGCTCCACCGTCCTCTGGATTCTCTCCAGCGACTTCAACAACTCGCTCATCTACGATCCGTTCTACCTGAAGCTCCCCGCGTTCTATCAGAAAATGCTCAAGTCGCTGTCGGCGCGGATCGGGCAGGACGTGCTCATCACGGCCGGGCCCTACTGGGACGCGAACTGCATGCGCGTGCCCTCCAACGAGGTCTTCGCGCGCGGCAAGGACGGCTCGCTCTTTCTGACCCTCACCGGCGAGCGCAGCGAAGCCTCCGTCTTCAGCCGCTCGGTTTCCACGTCGCCCACTCCCTCCGACACGCCCACCTCCACGCCGGTGCCGCGTCCTCTCTCCGTCTCCTCCGCTCTCAACTCGCTGAACGCGCTGCGTCGCAGCAAGCCGTCCAACCCGCCGTCCAACGCCTCCTCCGCGGTGTCGTCGTCGACGCATACGCCGTGTCCCGCCGAGGGAAAGCGACCCACCGACCCCACCTACGGCTGCTTCAGCCCGGCCGTGTTCGCGCTGGCCAACTCGCTGCGCGTGTCGTACGGCCTGCTGCTGATCCGGCAGTTCTACGACCACCAGCTGAAGCTGAAGCAGTCGCGTCCGCAGCACGCGAACATGCAGAACTGGTCGCTGGACGATGTGTTTATGGTGTTCGGGTACGACAGTCCGCGGTACTATCAGTGCACGCGCGGCATGTTCAACGAGTTCTTCTCCTACTTCCAATACCTTCTGAACTGCTTCGAGCAGCGCTGCAAGACCTGGCGGCCTTCCGGAACGCGAGGAGACGCGGATCTGCGTCGCACTCGCCACGGCTGTTTCCGATTTGTGGAGTCGTCGCCGTCGTCGTCGTCGATGCGCTCGCCGAGCTGCTCGTCGTGCAGTTCCACGCCCGACACGCAAGAACTGATCTGTCCCGAGCGAATGGACTTGCTGGTGTCGGCCGGCGAGAGCTTGCTGTCCTACTATCTCTCGCTGGTTACCTGGGTGATCAACACCTACCTCGGCTGCACGATCGACTGGCAGGTTTACGGCGACACTATCTGGCGCCTCATGTACGCGTCGCCACGCCTCCGCAAGCTGGCCGTGGTCTGTCTGCAGTCGATCGTGCCCTCGACGGACTATCTGCCGTCCATGCTCAACGATCCCTCGCTCTACCAGTTCGTTTTCAGCGAGAAGGAAGTGGCGAAGCTCCCGTCGCAGATCAGCAACTCGCTGCTGCGCCATCGGAGCGCGAGCAACACGTTCTTCTACCAGGACGAAGAGGAGGACGAGGAGGACGAGGAGACCGTGGACTCGATGGAGGATCTCTCTTCGCGCGTCGTGGATCCGTCGCAGATGAGCCAGGAAGAGAAGATGCAGGCCTTCGTGTACTATCTGCTTCACCTCTGCGTCCACGACGATTTCTGTTTCGGCGCGATGACCGAAGAGCGGCTCGCCTGCGCTCAGTGCTGCCCCTTCTTCCCGTACATCTACCACCGTCTCAGCACGGAGATCGTGGAGGAGGAGGACGCTGCTGGCCACGCGGTGAACAAACGCCGCCTCCTCTTCCGCAACCCGCCGTCCTTGCAGCCGCGCTCGCTGAAGACGCGATGCAAAATGCTGATCCGGCCGGATGGGTACGGCGCGTCGAACTGCAATCTGGTGGTGGCGGAAGAAGTGGTGTATCTGCTGCGGTGCATGCTGGCGAGCGATCGGTGGCGCGAGCTGATCCTCGACATTTTTGAAATGATTCTGGAGCGCGCGGCCGATCAGATCGAGATCGAGAAGCAGAAGATCCAGGGGTCGGTTCGCAGCGCGTCGCGGAGCGAGAACGAAGAGCGCGAGCGAATCGTGTGGTACTCGATGGGGTCTGCGGTGCTGAAGGTCATGGGGTCGATCTCGCGCCGCCTCTACGCGGGTTGTCGCGTGCGCGTGCGCCAGCAATTCATGGACCACATCACCGATCTGGACGTGCTGATCCAGACCATCCACCAGTCCTCGGGTACGGGCTACGTCATCGACTTCAACATCAACTCGGGCGAAGTGCTCGTGCTGCTCGATCAGATGCAGGTCCCCAAGCTCTTCACCATCTACACGCTCGACGTGGTGGACAAGGTCCCGCCGCCCGCGGAGCTCTCCAACGAGACGCGTGACTTTTTGATCACGCACGTGCAGCGCGTGATCATCAATCTGGAGTACCCGGACGAGCTGTTCGAGCTCCCCAACGAGGAGAAGGACACGCTGACGCACCCGTTCAACGTCGTGGAGCTGCAGAACCTCGTCTTGGAGCAGAACGCCATCTACGTCTTCCACCAGCTCATGATCAGCTTCCCGGAGAACGTCCGGCTCCTCAGCAAGGAGTTCATCAGCGTGCTCTTCGCTCTCGCGCTCAAGCCCTCGCCCGCCAAGGGCATCTTCGGCACCGAGTTCATTCGCTACTGCTTCAACCACCTCGCCGAGCTGCTCATCGACACCTACCCCGGCTGCCCGCATCTCTTCCCCACCACGTCGTCTTCGCGCCCCGCCAATCCCGCCGCCACGTCCTCCAAGGAATCCGCGGAGCCCACGCTGGAGGTCTACGCGCCGATGGACCCCACGCGGCTGCAGCGCGCGCGGAAGCTGCAGGAAGTGCTGCAGCAACCCGTGGAGTCGATCGTGAAGGCGCTGAAGCTGTTCCACGACAACGAGGAAAGCACGGTGACGTTCTTTTTGGAGCACGCCGTGGAGGCGGACCGCGATATGGAGAAGACCATGCAGCACATCCACACGGAGATCGACTGCGACGACACCGCGGCCATCTACGACTTCGACTGTCCGCGCAGCTCGCCGTTGTTTTCGGGCCAGAGCGTGCGGAACATCATCGTCAAGAAGACGCAGATCATGCACTCCGTGCCGTTCTTCGCGCAGTTCGAGCCGGCAACGCCCGCCAATCTGAGCAATGCCCTGAACGTGATCGCCTCGCGGCGCGGGCCGCAGCTGGACGTGATTTACCCGGTGGATCCGACGGGCGTGGTGGTGGGCGTGCAGGATCTCCGCATCACGCTGTCGCTACTGGACACGAACAGCGGCATCAGTCGGCAGGTGGAGTACCCGTACTCCGACGTGTTCTTCCACAGTCGCCGCTTCGGGAACAAGCTGAGCACGATGGCGGATCTGCGTCGCATGACGGCGCGCATCTGTTTGAATCTGGACCTGCGTCTGCTGCGGGAGTTGGTGATCACGCTGCTGTATCTGTTCCAGAAGGAAGAGATCGACGTGTTCTCCGTGTACGACATCAAGGCGCACGATCTGCTCGCGTTCACCAAGCTCATCCACGTGTTCTATCTCACCATCGCCAGCAAGAACGTCCTCTCCGGGCCCAACCACATCACGCCCGCCTCCGCCCTCATCTACATTCTCAAGCAAACCCTCGCGCGGATGATCCAGAAGCACGACTACCCGCAGCTCCTCGCGCAGTTCATGCAAGGCGGCTGGCTGCAGTCGCCCATCGGGCCCATCGTCCACCCCATTAACTCCAAGCGCTACTACGTGAGCTCGCTGCATCCCTATCCGTCGCCCTGCAAGGTCTACGAGCGCGTCTCCATCCCCAAGGCGCAGGCTCTCCGCATCATCTTCGACGATCGCTGCTCGCTCGAGAAGGACCAGGCCTTCCTCACCTTCTTCCGCGACGCCTCCTACTCCCACGTGATCTCGCGCTACACCGGCGACTTCAGGAGCTTCTGCACGCTCCACGTGCAGAGCAACACGGTCTACTACAGCTTCGAGTCCTCGCAGCGCAGCAGCGCGCAGTGGGGCTTCGGCTTCGCGGTGGAGCCGCTGGTGGGGCTGAGCTGGAACAACGACTTCCAAGTGCAGGGCCCGGGCTGCCTGGAGTGGATCAACTGGCAGCTGGAGACGGTTCTGGACATCGGCCAGGACTTCGCGATCCGCGACTCCGACTACTTCAACCGCGTCGCTGCGACGATCGTGGCCTATCTCCGCACCTACGGCGCGCCGTACAAGTCGCGTGCGGTGGAGCTGCTGCTCCGCCTGCTCTCCGAGCCGCAGCTCTACCCGGTGACGCAGCTGCCGTCCATCGAGGGCATCCGACACAACGTGATGCGCTACATGAACATCGTGAAGGGCTACAAGGTCCACCCCGAGCTCCGCCTCATCCTCGAAATGTGCATGATGTTCGAGCTCTACCCCGAGCTCCAGAGCCTCAAGACGCCCTGCCCCGCCGAGAACCTCCCGCCTTTCTGCGAGTCGCCCGGCGACGTGACGCTGAACGACGACCACATCGCGCTGCGCGACGTGCACCGTCTGGCTCGCAACCTGTACTACGGCTCGCTGCCCGACCAGAGCTATCTGCGCTACGTCGCAGAGCACACCGGACTGGAATGGAACGCGGCGGACTACGCGGACTTGGCGCGGACGATGCTGCGGTTCACGCAGGCGCAGGACGTGGCGCTGATGACGGTGTTCCAGCAGCGCTGCGTGGCGACGAAGACGTCGCCGCTGCAATACGACATCGGATCGTTCTATCTGACGCAGGAAGACTTGATTCGCGCGTCGATTCTCGACGAATACAGCTGCGCGGAGCTGCGGCGGCGCCTCTATCTGATCCGGCTCTTCAACTTCCAGCTGAGCAGCGTGATCCACTTCATCGATCTGATGGACATGGATCAGGAGAACCGTCTCGGCACGCTTCTCTGCGCGATGAGCCAGTACATCAACCCGCAGACCAAAGAGAGCGTGCTCGAGCTCTCCATCAAGGAGACGGCGTTCGATCCGAAGGAAAGCCGCCCCGTCATCATCGTGGACTCCATGCGGACGTACGAGGACGGCGACGAGCCCAACCAGCGCCCGCCGATTCTATTCAACGAATCCGTGATCAAAAGCGCGTTCACTTCGCAGTGCACCTTCGCGCAGCTCTTCCGCGAGGTCTCCAAGATCGACACCAACCTGCTTCGCTCCCCGCTCGACAAGAAAGGCCGGCTGTTCGCGATCAAATACAAGGGCGAGCAGGGCGTCGATTTCGGCGGGCTGTACCGCGAGGTGATGGAGCGCGCCGTGGAAGACCTCTTCTCCGACCGCATCGATCTGTTCCTGCCCTGCCCCAACAGCCGCGCGGAGGAGGGCAGCAACGAGGAGAAGTACTTGCCGAACCCGAAGTACCGGCACTCCGTCGAGGCCATGGACATGTACATGTTCGTCGGCAATCTCATCGGAATCTCCCTCCGCACCAAGCAGCAGCAGGCCTTCGAGCTGCCCTCCATGATCTGGAAGGTCCTCATCGGCTCGCAGCCCGACCTGGAGGATCTCGAGAGCGTGGACACCGATTTTATTACGCTTCTCAAGTCCATCCGCGACTTCGACGAGGAAGAAGCCGAGGAAAGCTTTTACGACACTTTCGGACTCACTTTCTCCATCTACGACCTCGCCGGAAACGAGAACGAGCTGCTCCCTGGCGGCGCGGAGGTAGGCATTCCCGCGGGGACTCATTTGTAGATCGAGGTGACCTACGACACCGCGGAAAAGTGGTGCGAATTGGCGCTGGAATTCAAGCTGAACGAGTTCAAGCAGGCCGCGGAAGCGATCGCGTGCGGGCTGCAGGTGCTGATTCCGCAGCGATCCATCGCGTTGTTCACGTGGGACCAGCTGGAGCGAGCTGTCCGCGGGGAACCCGAGGTGGAATCGTGGAAACGGGGTAATGCGTAGATCGACATCGAGGACCTGAAGCTTCACACGATCTATTCGAACTGGACGGAGCAGCACCCGGTGGTGAAGCGGTTCTGGAAGGTGCTGGAGGGGTTCGACAACAAGGATCGGAGCCAGTTCCTGCGATTTACGTGGGGACGATCGCGATTGCCGCATAAAGATTGCTGGCCGAGGCCGTTCAAGCTGTCGGCGAGGAACTATGGAGATGACATGTTGCCGTTGGCGCATACATGCTTCTTTGAGTTGGAGTTGCCGCTGTATTCGACGGATCAGATTATGAGGGAGCGATTGCTCATCGCCATTCATTATGGGGCGAGTGAGTTTATGCTGCGATAGTGGAGGTGGAGAGTGGCAGTGCAGTGCAGTGCAGTGCAGTGTAGTGTAGTGCAGTGCAGTGCAGTGCAGTGCAGTGCAGTGCAGTGCAGTGTGTAGATAGTTTATAGTTTGTACTGAGTGTTTGTTGAAAAGGGGAAACGATTTGTTTCGATGGACAAGCAGGACTCGGAGCTGCCACCGCAGGACTATAGAGAGTACGCCAATAGCGACTACTGGGAGGAGCGGTGAGGTGTTCGGGAGATGTGTCATGTAGCTACAAGAAGAGCGCGAATGACTCGTTTGAGTGGTACTACGGATATGACACGCTGAAGGAGGTGTTCTCCGACTACTTTGATGCCTCAGCGAATATATCCCTGTTTCTCATGCGCGGTGACTTAACCAAACGTGCTTGTCGTTGGGAATGGAAATTCCGACCTGTGTGAGGACATGGCCAAATGCCACTCGGGAAAGATTGTCGGAATTGATATTTCAGACACGGTGACGAAGGAAATGAACGAAAAGCACAAGAAGAACCTGGAACAGTTCCCCTCTATGTAAACTCGTCTCCTGCGCGTGTCTGAACTTGTAGGTGTCCTGTGGAGTACAAAACGGTGGATGCCACGACAATGGAGTATTCGCATGAGTTTGACGCGGTCATCGACAAGGGCACGCTGGACGCTCTGAACTGCGGTGACTTCGAGGTCGTTGAGAATTTAATAATGAAAATGGAATATCCTTTGATTTCCCTCCATCTTCGACTGATGGGCTTTCCTTCACTGCACCGACGCCCTGAACGAAGGCGCGCTCATCATCATTTCGCAACTCTCCGGAGAGGACCAAATGCAGGAATTCTTATCGAGTGTATGAAGGAATGAAGGTGTCTAGTGTAGATTGTGGTCCTTTTCGATTGGGAGTTCTTCAAGTACAATGCTACGGTATGCTTTCTTCTGTTTTTTAATGGATAGGTGTACGTTGCTGGCGATAATCCTGCCATGTGCGTTCATGTCCGGGCTGTGTAATTTCTAGTTATGCGATTGAAAAGCACGCTCGCATCCCCAACGAGCCGTACGATGCGGAGGAGGACGCTGCAAACTTTGAGGTCGAACTTGTGGATTGCTCCTCTTTCTCTGTTTGTTTCACACACACGCACACAAACTCCGTTCTTGCATGGAAGAAGCTAGTGGAGATGATCACAATAACGAATCCCATCAGGCATGAATCGCCATTCTCTCGATCACATTCTTCTTCCTCCATTCTCGCTCACTGCGTGCTTCCGTCCACCAATAGACACTCCGCGCTTTCCAACAAACACCGCAACAACCTTCAACACTACGGCACTTGCACTCAGAGCATCTCTAATGCTGCGACTTGCGGGTGGAGCGGGCCTCCTTCTTCTCCTTCTTCAGCTGCTCCATGCGCTGCTTGTAGGCAGCGGCCTCCTGGCGCGAGTTCTCGCGGGACAGCTTCATGGCGCGCTCGTTCGCACGCTTGTGGCAGAGACGCAGGTGGGTCACCAGACGCTGGATCTTGGGCGCCTTGTCGCGCTTGTGGCCATTGTGCTCGAACTGGCGGCGCACCACGAACTTGCGGACGTCGTCCTTCTTGCTCAGACCGAACAGCTGGCGGATGTGGCTCGCACGCTTGGGACCCAGGCGGCGGGGCTTCGCGGAGGCCTCGTCGGTCAGACCCGGAATCTCCTGCTCGCCCTTCTTCACGATCATCAGGTTCAGGACGCAGATATCCGAACCCACGATGCAGCCACGCACGGACTTGCGCTTACGCTCACCCTAGACATGAAATGAAGATTCCGAACCAACGTCGCGACGAGCACGGTAGCAGGACATGCCGTCGGCAAGCAGAAGACGCACACGGTAGTTGCAGAGAACTCCCTGCTTCATGGGGAAACCCTGCTTATCGTTTCCTCCAGTGATGCTGAAAAATGAGCAAATACACGCAAAACCCCTACCGGAAGACGTAGCCCTTGAACTCGTCTCCGAGAAGGTCTCCCTCAACCTCCTGGCTAATTCTCTTGTCCATCAGACAACGGCTAGCAATCAACTCCCAAAAACTAATTTCTACAGCTTGTTCTCATCATCAATATCAATAGGCTTCTGAGAACCGAGAGCGGGATAGCAGATGTTAAGCTACAAGCACGATTAACACAATTCCACCTCACGAAACACATAAACTGCAATAATGGATAGCGCACATACTTTCATACTAATCTACTTCAGTAAAACCACAGTATTCAAGGTTATGTGGGGGAATGACAGAACTAAAGAAGACAAGGGGGTGTTTCAATTCTATAGGAAATCAATACATTGAATATTCACCAAGCAGTTCATTTAAAAAATGCAATTTGTATTGAAATTGGAAGGAATATCGGCAAATGAACGCGTGTACACAGTTTCCCCATGTTTCAGAAGCACAGTATCGAACAAACAGGAAAAACAAAAAACAACTATCGATTTGCTAGTTGCCACAGCGCTACCACATCTACTGGAGTATATCGATGCGCAGCAGATAGTCGCATATACACTCCCGGCATATACGCCTTCCACATGAACTCCATCACCCCTTGCGGGTAGGTAAGCAGGGTAATATTCGTAATCGCTGCAATTTGCCCCAGGAACACGTCGTCAAAGTAAATAATCGGTCCGATGTGTTCGCAATACTTGACGATGGTGGCGAGCGTGTCTCCTGCTATCGTAACGAAGCAACCCGACGGATAGGGATCAAAAACTGGCTGGGGGAAGAGAGTCTTGGGCATCCAGTATCGGCTGACATCAACACGGATGGGTTTGTTGCCCGTAACGATGGTTCCGATGAGTGTTTGCGATCTACGCTGCATTAAGAATTGTTTGATGTGGGTTCGTGGATTGTACCAGACATCATTGTCCGCACGCACATAGTACGCGATTTTGGGACAGTAATGCGAAGTCCAGTTGTACGTTAAGATGGCGAGCAGTGTGAGGTTCATAAAGTGGTTTTTCATATCGAACTGCACGATATCGTGGAACTTCTCCGACTCTTCGCGGAGCAAACGATCGCCTTCCGGGTCGTTTTCGTCGTGGCCGGCGAAGAACAAGTGAATTACCTTCTTTCCTTCCACTTCGCGGATGTTTCCCCACGCTTCGCGCGTTCCCATGCGTTCCATGAATTGGCGAGGTCCCACCGGGCTTCCAACCACAATATAGGTATCGTCTTGGCACGCATTTTCATTGTTGATGATCGTGTGGTAGGTATGAGGATACTTCATAACCATGTCTTCGATGCGGTATTTCTTGTCAGCATAGATTCCTCCCCTGCTGTCGTATTTGAAACACTTTCGATTTTCCTTGTGCATGATACAATTGTAGACGGACTTGGATTCCTTCCAAAGATAGTCGCGCATGACGTCTACTCGCTGGTCGATCGTTAATTTCCCGAACACTTCGCTATTCTCAAATTCCTTTGGAGCTACGTCGTTAGAATTGGTTTGTGTAGAAATACATCGGAAATGATAGAACTCTTCTGAAATCGCCTCCACACTTTGGCTCGAAACCGCATCTCGATTGGGAAGCGAGGAGGACAGTTTGAGCGTGCCCAAGATAAAGAGACAAGTTAGCCCGAATGAAACCCAGAAATAGAAAGTCTCCATGAACGAAAAACTGTTTGGCTCAAACATCAAGAAACCTTATTTCTTTTCCACCGTTTCCTTTTTCTCCTCCGCGCTCTCCTTCTCTTTCTTCTTCTGTTGCTGCTTTAAATGACGATGATACCACGAATCCTCTCGGCTCGTGCAGTCTTTCAACACCCAGGGATCGCCCCGCGCGTGCATTTTCTCCGCCAGACCGGCGATTAGACTTCGCAGCTCCTTTCGGGACTCTTCCCGAGCGAAGTTCATTAATGCCAGCTGTGTTCGCTCCTCCGTGAAGATCTATGCCTTATTCTCGGTCTGCGCCACTACACAGAGCGCTCGGTACAAAATTTTAAACATATGCGCCTTGATCTCTCCAGGAAGGGCATGATGTTTCTCCTCGAGGTCTAAGTACTCGTAACATATCTCATCCTAATCTCGACTCTCCAACAAACACGTACGACCGTAAGAAGATGGCCGTCGGCTGGGTCGATTCCATTCACGAAGAAGGCGGGATTTTCTAAAATCGCTTCGCCCACCATCACGCCGCAAACGCCTGTTTCCTCGATGCATTTCGTCACATCCTCAAGGCTGCAAATGCCTCCGTTCGCAAACACCGGAATGGAGAGCTCCTTGCGGATGGTGGCGATGGCCTGCCAGTCGCAGGCTCCCGTGCGATCTTTGTTTTGCTCCCGTGTTCTTCCGTGAATCTGTGGCGTGTGAAACATGTTAGACGACCTACAGTAATCATCTGTGCTCCTTCTCTCTCTAGCATTTTACAAAGCTTGATTGTGTCTTCTAGCGATGGGAGCAGGCGAATTTTCACCGTGAAAGGGAACTGCACCTCCTCACCCCCTAATGCTTTGGCAATCTGCTCAACTAAATTGTAGTTGGGAAGGAGGTACGAGCCGTACTTTCCTTTCCTCGCTATTCCTTGGGGACATCCCAGATTGAGATCCACTGCCATGCATTTGCCCTCAAATTTGAGTGCGGCTTTCTGTAAAAACTCGGGATCATTCCCGCACAACTAGAGCTGGACACGACCCCGTACACCAAACCTGCACGATAAGGGGACTGTCTCCATCACAGGTGTGAAAATAGCGATCTAAATAACCGCTGTCTTCAAACATGACACGCGAATGGTACATTTGCGTAAAACACAAGTGACAACCGTATTTCCTCACTAACAATCGAAAGGGAAGATCGCACTGCTCCACCTAGAATAAAATTTAAACATCACACTAACCATAGGAGCTAGAACATGCCGTGTGTGTTCTATGTGAGAGAACAATCAAATGCAATACGTAACGTCTCTTTAAACGCAGCAATGCGTTTTGCCTTGAGCTCACTGTATTTGTCCTCAACAGGATCCATTTCGTTAAGACGAACCCAATCCACACGAGTAAAGAATACGAAAGTAGGAAGAATTAGAGTATACAAAAAGACCCCATAATGAATAAGGGGCATAGAGTGGAAAGGGGCCCTATTTCTTATTGTATGGTTTGTACCAGAAACAATTGTTGTGTAGAGCATGGCTATTGGTAGGTTATGTGCAAGAGAGGTGGACTGCATTAAAGCAGTTATTTTCCTGAAAGAAGGGAGGCAGTCGATTCTAACCCATTTGTAGGCAAGTCTCAGAAGAAAATCAGTAAGAAGGGAAAGGGAAAGAAGGTGATTGATACCATGGCTAAGAAGGAGTGGTACGATGTGCGTGCCCCTAACCAGTTCCTGGTGCGTGATGTGTGCAAGACGCTCGTGTCTCGTACTTCGGGATTGAAAATCGCCTCTGAGGGTCTGAAGGGACGTATTTTCGAGGCCAATCTGGGTGATCTGAGCAAGAACGAGGAGCAGGGTTACCGCAAGATCAAGCTGCGAGTGGAGGACGTGCAGGGAGATAAGTGCATCACCCTCTTCTACGGAATGGACATCACCCGCGACAAGCTGGGTTCTCTGATCAAGAAGTGGAAGACTCTGATCGAGTGCAACGTGGAGGTGTCTACCACCGACGGTTACAAGCTGCGTCTGTTCTGCATCGCGTTCACCCGCAAGCAGGACAACCAGAACAAGAAGACTTGCTACGCGCAGGCCTCTCAGATCCACCGCATTCGTGCGAAGATGGTGGAGATCATCACGGACGAGGTGTCGAAGTGCGATCTTGCGACGCTGGTTCCGAAGCTGTGCATGGAGTCGATCGGTGCTCGCATTCAGAAGGAGTGCAACAAGATCTATCCTCTGGAGAACACGCTGATCCGCAAGGTGAAGATGATCAAGTCGCCCAAGATCGATACGGTGAAGCTGATGGAGCAGCACGCCGATGTCGTGAAGAAGGAGGAAGAGGGCGTGAAGGTGGAGGAGACTGTGGCTCCCATGGCTGGATCGGGAGGTCGTCTGTAAGCTTCTCTCTCTCTGGACGCACACAACAATTTCGGAAGTGTTTGTTGGACAAATGAGTGATGGAAACAGGGGGAGGGAAAGGGAAATGGAGGGTGAATGGGGAAGCGTGGTGGAGGGAAGGATCATAGGAAAGAGAGCAGATATCAATCAATCAATCAATCACACATCCTAATCAAACTCGTCACATATCCAAACAAACAAACCAATAAAAATCGTCATAGGAGTCGAGGATATCCTGAATCTTGAACATGTCACGAAGCACCAAACGCACATCGTCTTCCATGGAAAGGGATCGCAACAGCGGAATCAGCTGATAGAGCTTCTTGTCGGTAGGATCCGAATACCACGAAGAAATTGGAATTCCATTATTCACGTTGAAGGCGAAGGAATAGAGGGAATTATCGAGAATGATCACCTTCGACTAAACAAAATCATAAGAATAGGCAAATAGCAGTACCAAATCCCGATTTAGAGACCGAAGGTCCTTAATGTACATACCATCATTCACGCGAATACAATGCTCTCGATTCAAACAGTACTGAATTAGTTTTGTCTCGCTGTTGAACAAGTCACAAATCAACTCTCCATAGACGCGAATTCCCGCGGTAAACACGATCAGTTCGTAATACTGACTCATAGTCTCCAGAAAGTAAAACACGTAGGGACGAAAGCACAGATACACGTCGTATTTTATGCCGTCGTCGATTTCAAACGTAATATCAAACTGAGCAGGCTTCTCCAGATAGCAATGGACCAAAGTTTCATCTAAATCTAAAACGAGTGTATGGGTATGGCGAGATATCTTTGGTGGAAGCAAGTTGAGCTTTAGATATTGAGGAGGGATGGAGGAATACGGGGGAACAGCCTTCATTAGTACATAGGGGTCGACAAAATCGTCCATTTCTTCTTGCTCTTCTTCCTCATATTCCTCTGCAGAGTCGTAAAATACAGAAGACACCATTTCTTCTTCTTCTGGAGAAATACTACCTGGATGTTTCAAAGACAGTGTCCGCAGTGTTGATGAAGTGTTAGTGAAGGAACAAAATCAATAATGATTCAAAGATATTCTCTAGAAACACTCGGGCGCCGCGAATCGGATTCACGCGCGAGAGAACTATGACGACGAATTGTTTCGCATAGTTCTAGTATGGTGATCCGAAATAAACTACCAAACCATCCGATATACGTGGGTACGGAGTCATGATGGATTCACGCTTCTCCGTTTCGGTAGATTTTTCGGCTATGGAGAGCCTCACTTTCCGTCCCTCCGAATCATTCTTTTCGGCATTCACAGGAATCACAACTAAAAAACCGTTAGCACATCGAAATTAGAGTATATCTCCTACCATAAGAAGCATTCTTCTTATTTTTCAAAGAACTGTCGTAATCCCTTTGCCTGGAAAACATTTTTTTTGCTTATCTGAAAAGTGTGCTGTGTAATATGTGAAAGATATCGTTTTGGTTCCAAACATGATCACTCCAAGTCGAACGCTCGGAAGAGAAGAAGGACTCTATTTACACAAAAAATTGTGCAGCGGTTCATTTTTACTGTGGAATAATCCAGTTCTTACCAAATCATGCCGGTTGGTTTGCTGTGCGATTGAGCATTCTGATTTTACAATATATTGAAATCGCCCGAGATTCCGCCGTGTCTCTCCATGTATCTCATAGATCGTTTGATAAAGTAGATTATATTATCACATATGAATTTCCTGAATCAAGCTAAGGGATTGGTCGCGTAGGAGATGATTTGGAAGTGTAATGGTCGTAGCAAGAAGACCGAGTTGGAGAAGACTCTGGACCAGGCTCTTTCGAACGAGAACTGGGGAGCCTCTGGAACGATGCTGAACGATCTCGCTCAGGCGTCCTACAACGAGTATGGCGTAGAAAACCGGATCTAATCGTCTAGTGCTGACTACAGAGTGATTTCTGAGGCTATCTGGAAGACCCTCGCTGTCCAGCCCAAGTACTGGAAGCAGATTTTCAAGGTACGTTTCATTCTCCCAGATCTTGCTTACGTTCTAGGCTCTGAACCTGATTGACCATCTGATCCGTAACGGATCTCCCCGCATTATCGATGACACCCGTGATCGTATCGAGAAGCTGCGCGCTCTGCAGGAGTTCTCCTTCAAGGAGCAGCAGTACGAGCGTGGAAACGGAAGTACGCCCTGTGTTGTCTAGTTGACGGTCAGTCCGCGAGAAGGCCTCTCTGATCATCGAGCTTCTGGACGACGATTCTCGTCTCCGTTTCGAGCGCAAGAAGGCCAAGGAGCTCAAGCAGAAGATGGCCTCGCGCCAGAACGCTGTGGGCGGCGGCGCTCCTGCCAGCGCGGGTCCGCAGATGCGCCAGCCGTCGCGTCCGATGCCTCGCAGCCGCTACGACGACGACGACTACGACCGTCCTCGCCGCCGTCGCTTCAGCGATGACGAGGACGAGCGGCCGCGTCGCCGCCGCGCGGATGTGAGCGACGATGAGGACGAGCGTCCGCGGCGGAAGCCGGTGAAGAAGGCGTCGCGGTACGACGACGACGACGAAGAGGAGGAGAAGCCGAAGAAGCGCGTGGTGAAGAAGGCGGCGAAGAAGGTGGCGGACGACGAGGACTTCGACGAGGAGGAGGAGAAGCCGAAGAAGAAGGTGGCCGCGAAGAAGGCGCCGGTGAAGAAGGCGGCGAAGAAGGCGGCGGCGGTGGAGGACGAGGACTTCGACGAGGACGAGGAGGAGGAGAAGCCCAAGAAGAAGGCGCCGGTGAAGAAGGCCGCGGCGAAGAAGGCGGCGCCGGTGGAGGAAGCGGAGGAGCCGGAGGAGGAGGAGCAGGGCGAGACGGACTTCATGGACATGTTCAGCGCGATGCCCGCGCAGAGCAATGCGGCGCCCGCGCAGCAGATGGACTACGGATATGGAGCCAACATGAACGCCAACGCGTACGGAGGCATGGTGGATCTCAGCACTCTCGCTTACGATGCCCAGCCCCAGGACCAGCAGCAGCAACAACAGCAGCAGCAGCAGGCGTATGGATATGGTGGCTACGGATATGGAGGCTATGGAGCCTATGGATATGGAGGCCAGCAAGGATTCAGTGGATACGGATATTAGGGATGTTTGTTGGAAACAGATACTAGGGATGTTTGTTGGAAACAGAAGGAATAAAAAAGAAGAAGAAGAAGGGATTATGAAGGGCACGCTCATTTTTCTATATATAATTATTCCTTTTTGTTTTGTTTGCCTTTAGTATTGCATTCGAATGGGTTCAACTTTCTCGAGTGTTCAGAGCTTTTCTTTACCCCCTATGGAGTATCACGGGTGTGTGGTAGGTGCGAGAGGAGATGGTAACACAAAGTACAAAACACCCATTGCGAAGCCAGTGGATGGAGACTATCGCAAAGGGGCATACCGTAGCATTTACTCGATGGACAAATTGTGGACATGTCCCATTCCAGATAAGCCATGGGTCGATACGAGTTTGTATTCCATCTCTCCGGTCGGTGAAGGTGTAGGGAAGTGTTAAAGAACTCGTACGTGGAACATCCCGATCGTGATTCGTTGGGAACGCGAAAAGTAAACCCCGACGGGTCTTTGGGAGAGTACGAGTACATCAAGTACAAGGACCTTTACCCAATGGTGGTTCAGTTGGGAAGAAGTTTCCGTCAGCGCTTCCCCTGGATGCAGCGGCAAGACCGCGTGGGGTTCTACGGCAAAAACAGCGCCCGCATACAGCTCTACTCGCTCGCCATGCAATCGCAAGATCAAGTCTGCGTTCCGATTTACGATATTCTGAGCAGTGACGCAGTGGAGTACATAACATCGCACGCAGAAGTGAAAGTCCTCGCCGTTACCGAGGAGAAGCTTCCTCATCTTCAGTCCGTTTTCCAGAAGGACACGCCCATCAAAGCGATTGTTCTGCTCGACGTGCCTCGTGAAAGTCCTGTTCTTCTCGAGTTTTCGCACGCCCTCCCCTCCACCGTGGAGATCATCCATTTCGACGATCTCCTCTCCGTCCCTGCGCAATCGCCCGTCGTTCCCTCCGACGACGACTGGCTTCCTTCCGGCGAGTCTCTGGAGTACATCCTCTACACGAGCGGCACGACGGGCACGCCGAAAGGCGTGATGATCAAGCACGCGTCGATGCTGACCGTCTCCGCCAGCTTCATCCACAACATTCTCATCAACAACTGGATCGTCAGCAACGAGGACGGCGTGTTCTCCTACCTCCCGCTCGCGCACGGCTACGAGACGGCCGTCGAGCTGGCGCTGATGATCGTGGGAGCTCGCATCGCGTACTATTCGGGATCGCTCCGCAACTTGCTCTCCGATTTGCAGGCCGCCAAACCGACGCTGTTTATCGCGGTGCCGCGCGTGCTGCAGCGCGTGCAGCAGGAGATCCTGAAGAACTTCGCGAGTCGTGGCTGGCTCGCGCGCAAAGTCATTAGTCATTGTTTGTGGAACCAAACGTTGGAGTGGAGAAAGGGGAAGCGCTGCCGTTCGTACGATTTCCTCGTGTTTGACAAGGTCAAAAAGATGTTTGGCGGGAAGCTGCGCTGTCTCGCTTCGGGAGCAGCGCCGCTCTCGGGAGAACTGAGCGAATTCTTGCAGGTGTGTCTGGGAATCCCCATCTTGGAGGGATACGGACTCACAGAGACGGGAGCCGCGTGCGCCGTCACGCTCAACAATGGCGAAATCGTGTATTACACGGTGGGATCCCCTCTTTTTGGACATGAGATCCGGTTGGAGTCGATTCCCGAAATGGGATACACGACAGAAGACGAGCCGCATCCTCGAGGCGAGGTGCTGGTTCGAGGTCCCTCGATGTTTGTTGGATATTACAAGAACCCGGAGCTGACACAGAATGTGGTCGATGCTGATGGCTGGTTCCACACGGGAGATATTGGGCAGTTTAACGAGGATGGAAGTTTGTCGATTATTGATCGAAAGAAGAGCATGCTGAAGCTCTCTCAGGGAGAGTATGTGGCAGTGGAGGCTGTGGAATCGACGTTCTCGGAGTGCAGCTTGTTGTCGCAGATTTTCGTGTATGGAAACAGCTATGAAAACTGTTTGGTTGCGATTGCTGCGCCCAATCCGAGTGAAATCATTTCCCTGGCTCGGTCCTTGGGACTGGAGGTGAAATCGATGGGAGAGGAAGGCTGGAAGGAGAGCTTAGTGAACGTGTGTTTGAATAAGCAGTTGGTGAACAAAGTGATGGAAACTGTGAACCAGTTTGGAAGGAGAATGGGGCTGCATGGGTTTGAGATGATTAAGGGGTTGTATCTGGATGGACACATCGAAGGGGCGATGGACCAGATCTTCACGATGGAGAATGGGTCCATGACTCCAACATTCAAGCTGAAGAGACAGCAGTGTTACAATCGTTACAAACAAACAATCAAAGAGATGTACGATGCGATTCATCAGGAGGCTATTGCACATTAGCACCTTTCATTTCGAATGTTTGTTTCAGATAAGGAGGGATACATGTATTCCAGCTTCACCTGCTCACCCCTTGAATAGGAAAACTCTTTTGTTCGTGCGAAGGACGAGTCATCACAGTGAATTGTACAATTCGGGGAGTCTAATCGTTACTTTTTTCATCAGTCCAAACTTTGGATCTGAACAACTTGCGTCCAATAGAAAGAAAACTCTCCAAACTGTAGCATTCGTAACCTGGGCGATCGCAATCGCAGAATAGCTGCGACATAGAAGCAATAACTCTCCTCTTCTCCAAATACACACTCCTCTAGACAGGGAAGATCAATGGTCAGAGAAGAGAAATCACTACAAGCAAACGAATCAAATCGAATCCTGGCAAGTACTGGACAATTTACAATTTTAAGGGTTCTCGACGTCTTACGGATTTCAGGGAGGTGTAGATAGGGAGGATAATCATTGGTGTATTGTGAGCAGGCGCTTGGCAAGAAATGGATTTGAGAGAGCGAGTGAAAATGGCTGACAACCAGATGTGGGTTCGAAGGAAGGCTATGTTCGCAGAGAGTAAGATTCTTCAATCGATAAAAGTAGGAATGAATTAGAGATAGATCGGTTAAGGCAAGGTTTTCAACCAAACTTGTAGTAGCGCAGTATTCTGTCTCCTTTCCGTCAGATAGGGTTTGATTCACACCCCAATTCACACAAATATGGTCGTTACAGTACAAACCATTTCGATAATATCTTCCTTGAAGATCATAGTCTTTCGTGAATCCAAACTTTTTGTTGAATACATAGAAAGAGGATGAAGCTATTAATCCATTTTTGTGATAAGACTCTCCGAATCCACAACGCTGCCCCTCCCAACATAATCCTTCATATTCAAGGTTTCCATCGTCATCGTAAAACCTTCCAAATCCACAGGGAATATGACGCTGATTGACCCATCCTTCCCATCTTCTTCCAGAATCTTCATCCACAATCGCTCTTTCTGTGGCAAAACAATCATCTACTGCAACGATGCAGTCATTCTTAAACTGAATCCCTGCAATTTGTTCGACATTCGTGCTGATGCACACGAATCCCGTTCCCGTAGCAATTCCATTTTCAAAATGGACTCCAAAGTGAAAAATATCATTACCTGCCTGGATCTCCACAAGTCCAATTCCGACCAAATGATAACTCGAATCGACGTCACAGAACACTTTTCTACCATTTGGCTCGTGGTAGAGATCATTTAGACACTCGCAATTCATCGTTTTTATAATCAAGTCGTGTTTTTCTAGAAAGCATCATATTTTACTAGAATCTTATTTTAAAATGGATCTCTTATCAATTGGATACGATGCTCTACTTGTTGATGATTCTAGTATCTGACGAGTGTAGAGAACTCTCTTTTATTTGCGGATCTGTGATATATGCGAGCTCTCCATGTCAAACAACCTAATGTACAAACTGGCAAACAACCCCGAACTGTGGATGTACTGCTATACTCGCGATTTTCAAACAGCCTTCCCTCTCCACAGTACGCTTTCACCCCAACACATGTATTATGTGCGTTCGATAAGCGGATTGCAAAACATTTGTCGTGAACGAGTTATAAACAACACGAAGTGAATCTATTCTTTGTATGACAATTCTAGTAATATTCTCCACAATGCAACACAAGTTCAACATCCCATAAAAACACGACTTTTGTTTGGAATCTGGACGATAGACTTTGATGTACTTTATCATCAAACAGTAAAGGCTAAATTCGATAGAAATCTCCAGGATACACGTTGCTTTCCGATGCGAATGGCTTAGGAATTGAGTTGGCCTATACCAGTAATGGCTGGTAACACATCCTTCTCTTATCAATCTGTTACTGTAGGTTCCGTGTGAAGGACTATGACGGGAACCAGCTGTGCATATACAGGCAGTCGAATTGGAGGGATTGTAAGGTGTAGTTCCTCGGAAGTCGTTCGCCAGTCTCTTCACATCACCAATGGGCAATCCGTGCGAAGTGTTACAGAACTACAAGAGAAGACGTTGTATGTCTGGTAGAGAATACATTCCTTCAACTTCATTCATAGGGGAGAATGGACGATCGTTTCAGAAATCGGGTCGATTTACATTCTCAACAACACCGATCGCCATCAAGTCCTGCTTCTCTCTCCAATCGAGCGCGGTTTCATCTTCTACCCGACGGATAAGTCCCTAAGCAACCCCAATCACGTTTTACTGTACCCTCCCAAATCGAATTTCTCTGTTTTCGCACAAACACTCCAAAAAGATCGAATTACCGAGTTACACGCAGGACAGACCATTTCTTTGACGTCTGAACAATCATACTTACAACACGGACACTTTTTGACGAACACTCTCTCTTCCTCATTCTCCACCGGCTTCCCCAGCTTGGCATCGAACACAAACGCCTCGCCATTCTGATCGAAATACTTCGCGAACCCCACCGGGCAGTCGTTGCACCACTCCTCTTTCGGGATGGCCCACGACGACAGCCACAGCAGCGGATTGAAGAAGTACCTCCGCCCATCGGGCAGCATCGCAATGCCCCACCCAGCGGGCAGAAACGAGTTCGGATCGTACGGATCCTGCACGATCTTCGGGAACATGGGATGCAGCGCTGCATTCGTCGGCTTTTGCGAGCTCGCCGCGTCCAGCGAGGGCGAACACGCTCGACAAAGCAGCTGCGTCGGCTTTGCCTTTGCCTTCGGCTTCGCTTTCGGCTTCGCTTTTGCCTTCGGCTTCGCCTTCGGGTCGGACGCAGCGGCGTCCGCTTGCTGGCTCGCAGCTTCGCCGCCTGGGGAAGGAACGGTCTCGGGGATGGTTCCTTGGCAGCGTTCACACACAAACAAACCACAGAATTCACATTTAAAACACTTGGCGGGCTTCAGACGACGGTGGCAAATGGCGCATTCTTGCATGCTGGAAGTCTCGGTTTGCTTGAGAATCCGAAGAAGGTCGGAAGCGTCCTGCGAGGAAACCATGGGAATCTCGAGAGAAAATGACTTCGCCGAGCAAAGAACGACGCGCGGATCCTGCTGATCGGAGGAAAAACAGCAGAGAATGCGTTCGAAGAGGTGGAGAACTTTTACTTTTGACACCTTCTGGTAATTGTTCGTAATGACAATAAGGTCGTTGAAAACAAAGAGTTTCGAGTCTTGGGCTCTATACTAACGCTAAACACAATGAAAACAAAATGCACCTTTCGAATGATAAACCGGTTGGGCCGAATTATTTCGACGTGAGGAACGCACTTTTGCAACGCACATAAGATCTGAGAGTCTTCTTCCCAGTCAAGAGATTCATCACACATAGAAGCTACCTTGGAGATGGAATCGATCGATTTCTCCAAAAATGGGTAGTCTGGATGAGTTGGTGGCGTATGCTTTATAATTTCATTCAAGAGCAGCCTGTAGCGAGGGATACGTTGTACGGGCATGATTAAAAATCCGGATAAATCCAAGCCACGGCAGCGCTCATCATGTTGGACTTGATTCAAAAAGGCACATATACGCTTGTTCCTCATAATCTCATTGAAAACAAGAACAAAGTTCCTTTGAGACTGGACATACACCTTATAGAGCTTCAGAAAGGGAGTATAATACATAAAGAGATAACCTAGACAAAGAGCATCATACTCCTTATTTGCAAGTTGAGACTCTAGGTCACCCAAGAGACGCTTGTGAACCGATAGAATTGCTCTAATATTGCTGAAAAGAACATATTCTAATTCGTCTGATAAAAGACCAAGCTGCTTCATTGGATCGATGAAAATTGAACAGATTAGCCTGAGAGTAATTCATGCATAAGAAATATACTCCAAATCACTGACATACGTTCTTTCTGTTTCACAAAACTCCTTACACGCATAATAGCGCTTTGAGGGCATACTTAGGTTGTTACCAAAGAAACGAAAGATAAGTCTGTATAAAGAAAACTAATTCTGAGCAGCTCGAGTATAAGACAAACAAATAAAAATACAATTACATATCACTTACAAAAACAATTATTATTTCATCAGCGCAATCATCTCCAGCCAAGAAATATTTTGAGCTATTCTTGACATTTTCACATGTCTCAGCATTTTCGCTACGGTACTTTTCGTTTTTGTAAAGTTTCCTACCTCCATCATCAATGGAAGTGATATTGTAATTGTCACTTGATCTTGGGCTAGACGAGCCAACATCTGATGTTTCAGATGGAGTTGCCACGGAGGTATCCTCTAATTGTAAGATGCAAAGGATACTACCCTGAGAAGAGTCAGAAGATATATTCAGTAGACTGCCATTAGTGCTTCGGTCATTAGTGGGGTTAGAAGACGCTAATTGTTCAAGTAAGGAAAGAAACAGATACAAAGGCTGTCAGAACTAGAAGACGTTTGAGAATCCGATAATATTTTCTTTAGCTGTTTAAACAAATCTTGGGAAAAGGAAGTTTGAGAATATCTAAAGAATCTTGGCTGATATTTAGCTAAAAAAAGATACAAATTGTATTCCAGAATATGTTATGCCATTATAGTGATATGATTTTTCGTTTAGCAAAACTGAGAGCATGAGAAGGATGGCAGACACTTTTTATTTTTGTTCAATTATTTTATGTAGAATGTTCAACTAAGCATAATACTAAATAGACTTGCGGTTTCTAGCCATATATAAAGAGATAGACTGCTAAATAATTGTTGATCTTTAGTGCCAATAATATTGATTGATAGTATACTATCATAGCTTACTACTCTGGGGTATAAAAATTGAAAATATACTCCAAATTGAAATGAACAAGAAACTTAGTGATAACATAAAACTCGTGTTAAGCCATGTTTTGTTTTGTATGCTTTGCTTAAATATTGTCAACAACGATATTTTCAGTCAACCATACTAAAACATCATGAATAAGGTACGAGCCTTCGCAAATAATACGGATCTGTTATTCCACATAACATACGTCGTCCAACAATTATCCACTTGTTCCAATTTGCATATCCTTTTTTAATTCCTATTTGCTTCCAGCTTCAAAGCAAACAGTGCATTTACTCTACCCATTACATCTCACAGACCTATTCCTAGATACATCTCCGTAAAGGAAACAACCAGTGATTTCCATATTATTTTTAATTTTCTCCGTTTCCAAGGATCCATATTTCCTCTCCCTTACACCTGACAATCACCACTTCAGCATTAAGCAACTAATCACTATTAGACGGCAAGGCTATTATAATACAGATCAATCTTAGTCTTTGTTGTGACCTGTTAACAACTATCCAATAATAAAAAGAAGAATTACTTCGTATTACCTGACTATCATAGTATTATTCTTACAAAAAAACCAATAGTATCGCTTAGTATAAATAAAGGATAAACCTAATCGATATACATAACGTTTATCTACATATCAAAGTAACCACAGAATATGGTTAAACACCACAACTCGTTTTTTAAAACGCAAATACAGCATTGAGTACCGCAAAGGCATTTCTCATTGACATTGCATCAACTCAAATGGGGATGCATAGTGGATTCAATTGATATACGAATTCATATTTATAATCTGACTTATATAAAACGGCCGCTAGACATAACACAATATGGTTGATTCGGTTGTTTTCAACATAATAATGTGTTAATTTGTATAACAAAAAGGCAAAATGTGATGAGTATGAAAATAGATATCACATATTTTAACACTTACATTTGTTTCTTTATATGAACCACCCTGTTAACAAACCATCTATTCTTGGACAAGATCAACGAAAATGAGAAAATCATCTACGAATAATCACAATACTATTTTTATAATGCTTTCAAACAATACTCGAAACAGAATTCCATTGAACACGATTAGATACGAGTAGTAGGGAAATGGCGGAAAACACGCGAAAATCCATTTTCTACCAAATAACCGCGGAAATCAATTTTCGACCATTTTTCGACCATTTCCTGCCATTTTCTGCCATTGTCTACCTGGTCACCTCGATACCCATAACAAGAAACGCGCGGAAACCCATGGCTGCCAATTTCGGCCAATGTTAACCTGACTTCCATTGTAGGCCATGGTATCCATGGATGTGATGGGGACAACGAGGGACGACTTCGATTCCTCCCCATTGTCTTGTTGACTAAGGTAAAGAGAGAAAGACCATGCACTACTCCATGCTTATTCAAGGCTCACCTACCAACGGCTCATTCACATGGATCAACCCGTACAAGTACAAGAATCCCTACATCACTTCCATGACTGTCCTGTTTCATCCTAATGGTTCGATGTTTAATAACGTAGACACGACCAATGTGATTACTAACAGCAATGATGAGAAAGTGACGATCCCTGCTGGTTATTACACGATCAGTGAGATCATTGCCTTGCTCAATACCATGACCGATACTACATTCTCGATATCGACGAATGCCTCGTCGTTCGGCTGTATCTGGATTCAGTCTCCACACACCATTGACTTCACAGATGCACCTGACATTCGTGAGATCCTCGGTTTGGAAGGACGAACGGTCATTCTACCTGCTGCGTTCTACGGTTCGAACGTGATTGATATCACGCGAAATCGCCAAGTGATCCAGGTCTACTCGACGATCGTGCGATCATCGGACCTGAAGATTGCGAACCAGAACAACAACCTGCTCACCACGATGATCATTGACGATCCAAAGGTTGAGTACGTGCGTACTGTGGAAGACGTGTGCATTCCAATGATCACTCGGTTTGATCAATTGATGTTCGTGTTCCGCGATATGGATGGCAAGATGATGCGACTGAACGGCGAATTCGAACTCCAGTTGACGATTGAGGATGTGTACGAGCAAAGTGAAAATAGCGTCACTTCCGCTAATCAGTTCTCAATGATCGAAGTGTTCGGTAATACCACGAAGAAGGAAGTGAAGCTGGACAATCCTCTCTCGTTCGACCAGTGCTACATCTCGTCTGTATCGTTGTATACGGACTTCGTGTTGCACAATGTGCCGACTGATCAAGTGGTGCTAATCAATGCTGGCGCTACGATTCAAGAGATCGCGATACCACGCGGTGCATACGACATCGAAACGATCATTGCAAAGCTGAATGCAAGTGATGCCCTGTTCGAATTGGTGTATAGCGGTGAGAATGCGTTCCACATCACGGTAGATCACTTCTACATGATTGATTTCACGAATGCACCAGAGATCAGGTCGATCCTCGGATTCGAATCGGACATCTTGGTGAAAGGAGTGGATAACCCGAAACGGTACTACATGTCGTCCTCGTGCAATCAAGTGGTTGTTACTAACGGCACTGACTCGCACGTGTTGATACTGCCTACTGGATACTACACGTTCAGCGAGTTCATCGAGGCTGTGGGTGCTGAAATGGTGAAAGTGCTACCACTCACATCCATGACGATCGAGGATGACCATGTTCGCTTCAATGATCAAAGTGAATCGTGGTATTTCGATCGATCCAGTGTTGATACGACGATCGATGGTTTTGAATGGACTCCATGGTTCAAACTGTCTCCGTCGGTACAGAACCTGTGCATCGAGCGACCTGTTGAGACTCAATTCGATCCTGCGAATAGTGAAACCCCACCCGATGAGACGAATGATCAAGGACTTGGTGGACATGCGTACCTCGATCCGTGCTTTGTTGAGTATGACTGGGAATTGCGCACGAATACATCCTTCTTCATACTGAAGCCACAAGTGACGTACACGATGACGAATACGGACGGTTCATTGTTCGATTCTGGCACATTCTACGTAACGGAAGACACGGAAACACTGATGTCCTTGGAATCACTCAGGAACTCGTGCTTATCACAGTTGAATGCGAAGTACCAAGAGGCACGTGATATCACATCGTCGCACCAGGAAGCCATTGCATGGACTGGTGGCAAAGCAGGCGATATAGTAACGTGGTCTGCGAAAGCTTACGCACCTGACCTCGAGTTTGACATGACAGCTGAGAACATGAATGTGCCCATTACGATTAACGAGGATAAGCGAGGTGGATCATTCGGGCCATTGTATTCCAAGGACTGTGTGTACAACGATAGTGTCTGGGTTGATACCACACATCTCGTCCTTGGACTAGAAGGTTACGACAAGACAGTGGATGTAACAATCGCACGAGGAACATACACTACTTTGCAGATCGCGCAGATGGTTGCTAAAGGTTTCAATGCAATCGATGGATATCGAATCTTTGATCGAGTGGAAAATGGTGGTCTGGTATACATAGGTCCTCGAAGTAATGATCATCCTTCGATGCTAGTCATATCCAATGACAACCCATACTTGCCATTGACTCCAGGATTGTCTCGTAGAATCGATTTCACCTTTCATCGCAATTACTACATCAGGATGCCCGAGTTGACAACGCCTTACGAGTTTGCGATGGCAAACATTGATGGACTAACGGCGGCGAACATGATTAATAGGAGTGTGATCACGAATCGTGAAATGACTGTGACGTTCATACAGCCTACACGCGTTGGATTCATAGGTTCCAACTCGTTCACGTCGGCTGACTTCGTTGATTGGGAAGAGTCACAAACGTACAAGGGTGATTCAACGATGCGCTTCCCGTACGGCGTGATGAGTCTCGATGGAGAGAATGTTGAGACTGATATCACGTACACGGATGATGCTCAGACATTCACGTGGAGCATACCATCACGATTGACTCAGGCTGACTTGGTATGGCGATTGAACCAATGTTTCAACTCTGCTGCACTAAACATACGATGGATACCCGAGTCAGATGGCTACTACATTCATGCGGACTACGTGTTCTCGTTGAGTGGTAACCTTGGCACGATCATTCCCGCTTCAGGATCGCAATCGCATACATGGCGTATCCCTTTCGACGATGGTGTGTACTATGCCAACTATGGTCCGATGGTTG